TTTTAAAGGAATTTCAAATGAAACAAATGGTGGGACTTCCTTCTTTAAGGTATTGTGTCTATATTTGAAGTTGCAGTAGTAAAACTGATAGATTTTATTAAGTTTATCAACCACAGGGAAATAGCCTCATATGAATATATCCTCTGTATGCTGAAGGATAAACTTCATTCTAAAGGTCCATTGCCAAAGCCTGATTTATTTACTTAGTTATTTATAATAGCACTGGAGATTGAATCCAGGGTCTTGTGCATGGTAGGCAAGTCCTTTACCACTGAGCTATATCCCTCACCCTATTTACTTATTTTTGACAGAGTCTTACTATTTTGCCCAGTCTGAACTGGGCAACTCCTAAACTCAGGGATCTACCTACCTCAGCCTCCCAAGCAGTTGGAATTAGAGATGCAAGTCACTACTTGCAGCTCAAAGCCTGTTTTAATTCCAGCTTAGTATTAGAGTCATGGGTACAGATAAGAATATCACCAGACCCTAGGGACCTTGAGTAGCCAGGAAATTTTACATTTTAGATAAGTTTTTGGGACACTAGTCAACTCCATGTCTGATCAAAGCCATTTAATTTTTTTTTTTTAGTTGTAGATGGACACAATACCTTTATTTTATTTATTTATTTTTTTGTGGTGTTGGGGTTTGAACCCAGTGCCTCATGCATGCTAGGCAAGCACTCTACTACTAAGCCACAACCCCAGCCCTCAAAGCCATTTTTGATCAGACTAGAGAGAGATTTGAGAGTTCTGAGCCACACAAGACTAATACCATGGCCTTAGCTTCAAGCAGATCTTCTGAACTTGGCCAAAGCTAGTTTAAACTCCCAGGTTAGAAATGGGGTGATCAGATCCAGTAGCTGGAGTTACGATAAAGCTTACCAGGCATTTATTCAGAAAATTCTGTCTCAGTGTTGTAGTTTCATTATGAACTTAAGCCTCTGAAAAAGCATGAGAAAGAATCTCTTTACTATGGGTACGTTTTCTTTTCTGGAGATGTAGTTGAATTTTGAGTCTTTTCTACAAGTAGTCATATTCACATACAGGAAATATAACTACTCAATATATAGTATTAACTCTGTGATACAGAGAATAGAATTCAATAGTGTATTATGGTTATATACATCAATTTTAAGTATATAGAAAAATGAGTACATCTTCAGAGTCATTTTAATTCTTTGAAAAAGTGAACGTCTGCTGGGCATGGTGTTACACAACTGTAATCCCAGAAACTTGGGAGGCTGAGGCAGGAGGATTACAAGATCACAGCCAGCCTCATCAATTTAGCAAGGCCCTAAGCAACTTAGTCCTGTTGTAAAATAAATAAATAAATAAAAAGGGCTATAAATGTGGCTCAGTGGTTAAACACCCCTGGGTTCGCTCCCTGGCACCAAAAAAACAAAACAAAACAAACAAACAAACAAATAAATAATAAAAAACCTGAAAATCCAACACTTATTGCCTAATTTTATATAATAAACCAGAATATCTAAATTTTCATTGCTATAAATAACAATGTTAAACATTTCCATTGATTCAAAAATTTAATTTAATTTAGGATAAACAGTGTAAGTAGTATTTTCAGTCATTCCCCCAGTTAACCTAAATAACAACTTTGTGGAATAGGAAAAATACAACCCTTTCTTGGATCTGTTTTCTTCAAAATCCAGTTGCAGTGTCTCTTCTTCCCATTACTTCATGCAGATTAAATGACTCAGTTGTTTGAAGTGTGTAAATTAGTGACAGAATACAAAATACCTATAGGTAATATGCATAATTTTATGTATGTTAATCAACATATATGAAAAATAGGCCATTAGTCATTGAACATGATATATGGAATAAATCTTCATATATTTCTTCATGTTTTTCGGGTTACACTAATGTCTTCATTTATTTTATTATCTGATTAAAATTTTTCCCTTTTTAGTCTGGAGAGGAATGGAGGACCATCCATAATTCCAGTCTTTAAAAAAGGTAATTAATTATTTTTTATTTTATTTCTGAGATATCTTCTAGCCCTGGCATTTTATAATTCTGTCCATCCCTCCCTAAAAATCTGAAATGCAGAGACAACCAAAAAAAAAAAAAAAAGGTATCTGTAAACTTCTCTTTTGTAATTCTATATACCTAAAATACCTTTTTAATTTATAAGCCCATGTTAATCATTTCTTTTAAGGACTTGCGTAATATCTCTTGCCAGAAATTCCTCTCTGTTTTTTTCCACAAGCTAAACATAAAGAAAATTCATTATTTAAACAACATGTATGTATGGTTTAAATAATGATCTTGCCATTGTTATACTTCATGTACAGTGTATCTGTCTATAAATTTTTAGAGCAGAGACATGTTTCCTATTGATACACTATTTGTTTTGTATATAGTTGGTAGATGACAGTTGAGGGCTTGGGTCTGAGGAAATAAAAGTCTAGATCTTATATTACTTCTTCCAATTAGACATTTAACAGGTAATAAAATTACTTAGTAGTTTCATGTATATGCTTGTTCATGACTGCTTAATGTAGGACCAAAGTCAATATTACTTAATATATGTCCTAGTCCTATAGTTGTTATCAAGAATAGAATCATTCAGAAGTGAAGATCAGTTTTCTGGAGTCAGAAAAAAAAGGAGAGAAGAGAATAGGGAGAGATAATGAAGAGAGGAGGAACTTCATTTATTCAGGGAGTATGTGAGGGAAGCTACATATGTGTGGAGGTCTATTTCTGAGTATCATGGCCATACAGAAAAGTATCTTTCTCTCTCTTTTTTTTTTAATAGCTTCTTTAGCCTAAGAGTAATTTACTTTAGCCTAAGAGTAATTTACACATAAGAATAAAGTCAATCTTACTCTTTCTTCACTTTAATTCTGGTTTCTAAACAATAAACTGTACATCTGTACTAGTAATGGTCTGATGAAGTTTTTGCAGTTGTGGTAATGTGAGAAAAAATAAGGACAACATAGGGAGTTTCTGATAAAATTAATTTCATTCAATGTGATGTCTGTTATTTTAAGATAAGCCTTTTATACTTTTTTGGTGTTAAAATATCCTTCACAAGATGATATTTTAAGTTGTTGGCAAGTGTTTCTTTATTAGTGCTAACACGGCATAATAAAAAGTTGGTAACCACATATTGTTCCCTACAAATTTTTGGTCTCTGAAATCTAAAAGTCTGGAAGCCAGTGATCTGTTCTCTCAGTATGTTTAATTTATGTAAAGAAATAGAACTACTTAGAGGTGGAGTAATGAGACTATACTTATATTTAACTGTGGCCTTCTAATTTTTTAGGGAAAGAACACCGAAGAAAAGCAAAACCTAAAATTCAACCAAAAGATTCTTTGACTTTAATACCTCCTATAACCAACTTCATGGGACTCTTCAAAAAAGCAAAACAGACCACTGTTTCCCATAATGTTTTTTCTTTTTCATCTGCAATTTCATCAGATATCATAAATGTATCAAGACCAAGAATAGCGTGTTTGAACCAACTTGGGAAACATGAACAGAAAGCCAACCCAGAGAATGCAGAAGGCTAATAAAAAAGAAATGAGTATGAAAGGATTCCTGAGAAATTTAAAATTTTAAAAATATGATAAAATATACATAGCTGAGTAATCTTTCCCTTTTTGTTTAAAGAATTTAACCTTTATTTTATGTACTTGTTTATTGTTGTTTATTTGTTTTTATGTGGTGCTGAGGATCAAACCCAGGGCCTCACCTGTCCTAGGCAAGTACTCTACCACTGAGTTATAACCCTAGCCCCAGCTGGGTAATCTTTTTGAATGGAAGTTCTTGATATTACAAAGATTTTCTTTACCAGTAGATATGGGGTAAGAATTTCTGCAGTAGACTGCCTGTACATAAATCTCCAAGATTTATCAACTGATATAGGTTGAATTGGTATGCCGAGTTAAAGAGGCCTGACTCAAAGCAGCCCTCATGATAACACTCATTTTAATACCTTAAGATATTTAATGAAAATAAATTACAAATGTGATGCTTTAAAATGTATACTTTAAAAATATTTCATTTAAAAGTAAAAACTGATATAATTTCTCATCAGATATACAAGTGTGGTTAAAAAATACAGCAACCAGTGTTGACCATTCTCCATATTTATAGAGAATGCCTTTGTTTTGCAGATATAAAGGATGATTTCTTTTTGGCTTAGAACCAAACAATGCTTTTGCTCAAAAGCACTTTTGAATAGGTGCAGTTTTGATATACATTTGCTACTTCTATTTTACAACTACAGATAGTTGGGCTTCACTGTGTTCTTTAATGTGCCTCCTCCCCTTTATTCCATCCACTTCATTCAATAGCCCCCATACAGTTTAAGGGTCTTGCTATAATCCAGTCTCTTCCTGGGCTGCACTAGTCATTCAAAAAATATATTAATGAGTAGTTATTTTCTATAACATGCCTTAACAATAATGATGGTGATTATGGAAGCTATATGGATTTCAGGCTTTCTTAGACTCCAAAGTCTGTGTTCTTAACTATTGAAAACTAAGAAACCTCTTAAATATTTCAAATTCAATTCTAAATTATGTTAACTGATGTGAGTTGAAACATTCTGGTAGATGGACTAAAATAGGAAATGCAGAGGGCAGAAATGGTATGTTTTAAGCTAGAAAGGATAAATAAATCTAAATGATAAGAAAGTGTTATTTACTAGGTACTGATAAGGATAAGAATTCATATCAATGGAAGTATTATAGAAGCCAGGATCATTTTCAGTAAAAGTCAAAAATAGTTTCTGCTGTCCTGACTGAGAAAAAGGGAAAAAGCACTAGGTTGTATGATATGGGTACAGGATTCAATAGAATCACTATATGTCTTCCAAGGTTTTGTTTTCTACCTGTCAACATCTATGCAACCTTTCCCCATAAGATGTTTTACTTTGATTCTTGCTAATGAAAAAGCCACGCTCCTAAGGCTATAACATATTATTATTATTTTATCAGAAGAGCATACATAACAGAAGGAAGTCTTGATGATTAAGTAACATATTTATAAAATTTGATACTCAAGAAATTGGGAACTTAATTTGAATCCTGAAATACTACCTGTAGAGACTTTTTTGAAAAGCAAACATCAAATCTTCATTTTAAGTCGTGGTACTTTGATGGCAGCTTCTGCAACTTCTTTTGATATATCTACTCCAAGAGGACATCTGCATCATAATCAAATAAACCATATTATTTCAAACACTTTCTTGATGTTCCATTGCTAGTTTTGCACACTATTTGCTTTAGAATTCTGCAAAGTAGTGGAACTATTTAATGTGTAATTCATCATATATGGTGATGCTTCTTACAAATACAAAAGAATCTTAAGCTAGGATAATGAAGACCATTTCACTAAGAAATCTAAATTCTGAGATGTTTTTGAAAGAGTTCTGTTGTTCTCCATTACTCTAAATTAGAAAGTTAAAAACAAATGAAATATAAGTATTAACAAAAGATGCCTTATAATTTTTAACAAAGCTAAAAAGATAAAAATAGTTTATCACATAAAGTCAAACATGCATTTATTTACATTTTAAATTCCCCAGGTTTCAAAAGTTGTCTTACCCCTTTTCAACCTTCCTTTGCTGCTACTGGCTGGAGAGGTCTTAGCTCCTATGTCTTTTTTGATTTCTGCTCTATAAATAATTTTAGCTTCAGATTTTAATCCAAGATAAGGCTGTGGCCTGGAAAAAGCCATCATCTCCAGTCTCAACACTGCCACAATAGGGCACAACCAGAGTGGACAAAACATATCTGAGGTTTAGTTATTGGCATAAGGGATTCTGACACTGCTAATCCAACTCAGTTCGTTCACCATGAGAATTAATAGTCTATGGTTCATGCAGCATAACTGTCTAGTGATGGACCATAATGCTGACAATATTTGAAACACTGAATGAAACAGTCTTCAAATTATAATTGTCAGATTATGAAACACAATTATGCTTTACCATTCTAGATCTAACTTAGACCACAACTTGAGAGCAAATTTTAAAAACTGTGTTATTACTAGAACTTTGATTTGGGAGAGGAAATAGGCTTGCAGTAAATAGTTATCTTTTGGCTGCTTCCCAGTTACCCTGTTAAGAACATAATCACAACTCCGTCTACACCTGAATGCTTTCTGCTTGTTTTGTTTCCCAGCATACCAGCTGGTCCTGAAAGCTTCTAGACATTGCAAAAGTCCAAATTATGGATCTGGTTTCCATTCTGATCCCAAGTAAGGAAATGCATCATTTCTACACATGTCCAAATTCTAACTCACCTATGATTTATCAAAATTTTTCTAATTTAATTCTGTAGCAAAATAAACTTCTTAAAAGGTGTTAACCTCAATGAGGTTCATGAAAAAAAAAAACTGATATAACTGTCAAGTACCACCAAAATATTAATAAAAACTTTATATATAAAAGCCAAAACCATTCTTTGGTTTTTATAATTTACCTTACATAAATAATATAAACTAGGGCTAGGGATATACCTCAGTTGGTACAGTGCTTGCCTCACATGCAGAAGCCCCTGTGTTCAATCCTCAGCACGGCAAAAAAATAAAAATAATAATAATAATATAAACTATACCACATACTTTGGTTCGTAGCGGATGCCTTCTATGTTGTCTAAAATGCCCAAGCCAGCACGTAATCTTTCAATACCATTCCTAAATAAGAACCATTAAAATAAAATTAATAGCCTCAAGATTTAAAGGAAGATTTAGTATGATGAAATGGTTAATTAGTATACTTATGAGTGAAGCTCATATATTCTATGGCTTACCATGCAATCATAATGCCATTATCAGTGCATAGTCTTGGGGGAGGACACAACAAAGTGCATTGTGTTGCATTTGTTACAATTTCCAGAGCTCTCCGTATATACAAGTTACTTGCAACACCTCCAGATACAACCTAAAGGAATTGATAAGACCCAATGAACTCCTATCACATATGAACCAAGTCATTTATTAAACCTGGGGAAATGCCAGCATTACTATAAGGTGAAATGACAAAACTTACTAGTACTGCATTACTTTGAGATAGCAAGTCTCTCTGCTTGCAAAACAGAATAGCACGATGTGTTCTTTTTGCAATGTGGCACGCAGTTGTATGCTGTACTGCAGCAGCAATGTCTGCAGCCGAAGACAGGATTTGCCCCTTCTCAATTCCTGCAGAAATGAGCAGGTATTTTTAGGCTCCACTGAGAAATATTTATTTGTCCAATTTTACTAATTAGAAATATACCTTCCTCTTTCTCCTTTTGCATTATTATTTTATCGATAACATGTTGAAGCCCAGAAAAAGAAAAATCACAATTTTTAGCACGCTGCATGGGTGGATTGATATCAAAATGGAATCTGTTTCCTTGTTTGGCCAAATGTTCTATAGCCTTCCCACCACTCATGGTGGAGCATTCTGGATGTTTGATTAAAGAGAGTCTTCTTGCTACCTATCAAAAACAAAAACATATTTTTAATGAGTTGTAAATTAAATATTTTGAAACCAAAAGGTACAAAGGAAATGAATTGAAAAATGTAAAATGCTGAATAAAATATGCTATACGTCTACAAATATGGACTACAGCTGATGTTCAGTAAAGCAAACCACCCAGTTCGTTATGAAAACCTGATCTGTAGTGGCCTATCACTGCCCTGCTACTTTTGCTCTTATATTGGGTTTAGAAAATGAGTTTGAAATTGACAACAACTGCTTAATGATGAACTTCAAATAAGAACTTGTCCTATTCTTTCTATCATTTCAGCTGTTGGCAGCAGTTTGTTTGTTTTTAACATGGCCGTAGACTTTGTAGTATTCTAAAAAGGAAAAGAAAAATCTGTGGTTTCAGTAATTTAATCATAGAAATTTGTGCATCTTGATGTCCTTAGGTTAATCTTTATGTATTTTGCATTTTGTGGTATATTACAGTTTACAAAGCACTTTTTGCATATATAGTATTTGGATAAATATAAAATTTCAGCTGCAAATTATTTGAACCTTTATGTATTGGATGTAAAACCATTTTATTAGGAACTGGTAAGAAAGAATTACAAAATTATTTACTACTTTTTTTTCTTACTATACATAATTTTTTCAGTCTATTTAAGATATTGAGAAATACTTAAGTGAATGGTAGTAGCATATCTATTGCTATTTAATTGAAACAGACATCATAACAAAAAAGGGTGGAGGGTGCTGGGGATGTATCTGTGATAAAGCACCTAGCTTGCATGAGGTGCTGGGTTTAATCCACATCACAGAAAAAAAAAAAAAGAGAGAGAGAGTGAAATTAGTTCTTAAATAATTACCTTGTCAAGCATGTCACCTGGTGCAATGTCCAAAGACTTTCCAAGAAGCAGAAAATCTGAAACTCCTCGAACTAATGCCAAGAGACAGTGACCTCCAGAAATCAAAAGAACTAAAAATGGAAACTCTACTTTATTGGTCAACCTAATAGTAAGTGCGTGAGCCTCCATATGATGAATGGGGATGAATGGCTTTTTCAGCTCGTCTACCAGCTGTAAACTAAATGATAAGCCTACTCCTAAGCTTAAAGCAAGTCCTGGCTTTATGGTAGTTGCAATCGCTGAGAGTTCACTTGGAGATATTCCGCTGGCACAAAGAGCTTCTTGTACTATTCGTTGAATGTTTTCTCTATGAAGTTGTTGAGCTACTGGAGGAATAATCCCACCTGTTCTGAAACAAAAGAACAGCTTATTATAATTTTATGATTGTACAATAAAGAATGAAAAATTGTGTTATAGCTGAATGCATGATTTCAAATTAATCATTATGTAACTGAAAACATTAGGATTTTCAAATTGTGTGGTCTATAATGCTGCAACTATGATAAGAACTAAACATGATGTTATGAATTCAGTATGAAGGGATGCTTCTGATTTTCCAAACTGGTACACAGAACTCCCATAGATTTGCTTGTTAATGAATGAAATCACCAAAACAATCTTAGAAAGCATTCTAAAGAAGTCTTGAATAAGGGAAGGACAGGATAAAATTATATTTTAGGAAAACAAATTTCCTTGAACATAGAGAGAATTTTAAAGAGATCATCACAAAAAAGTATTTGGATTAAAAGGCTGGGAGTATAGCTCAGTGGTAAAGCATGTGCCTAGCATGTGCACAGCCCTGGGTTTGATCCCCAGCACTGAAGAGGAAAACAAAAATCATTTGTGTAAAGTGATTATATCTTAAACTGGGTGATTGTGGTAATGGAAAGAAAGGGATGGAAAGCCTTCAAATCTGTAATAATAACTAATAACTAACATAAGGGTATGGAGGACCAAGTCATCAAAGATGATTCAGATATTTGGCTGGAAGGACTGGAAGAAAAGAAATACTAACACTGAGAAACATGATGGAAATTTTGTGAAGATGAGTTTATTTTTAAAAAGACTGCACTTGAGGTTACAGCAGGATAGCAGACAGCTTGCAATCCTAAAAGTTTGGGAATCCAGTTCTCAAGAGTTGGTAATTAAGATTTTTGGTTCATGTAGGATAGTGTAATGTGAATAGTAAAGAATTAGAAAGCAAATTTTCTAGCAATGATTATGCAAGCATAAGACTGATTTTTACAATCTGAGAAACAGTACAATAAAATATAGAGTCTGAAAACATACCTCTACTCTAAAAAGAAAATCATCTTCAAACATCTGATGTTGCGGGTGGGAAGGACAGTGGAATGAGATGGACATTATTACCCTATATACATGTATGACTATACTACCAGTGTGACTCTGCACCATGTACAGTTTGAGGAATGAGAAGTTGTGTTCCATTTGTGTATAATATGTCAAAATGCATTCTACTGTCATGTATAACTAATTAGAACAAATTTTAAAAATTGGATGTTGCAAGACCTGATACTTCTACACACAGAAATGCAAATTATCAGTAGAATATTCAATTAATATTTACTTAATAGTTAAAATACATACAAAAAGAAATTATCTTATTTCAACACATTCTTATATTCCTTAATTATTCAAAGATACATTTTATTTTAAGAAAAGAAAAATGTTCAAAAAGATTCAAAAATTTAGTACACCCAGTAGAAACTGAAAAGACTATGGTAATTACAGTTATCATCTGCACCACTTGTTTGATACTCACTTGATGCTGCCTTGCTCTGCTAGATCTCCTTATAGTCTATACATTATGTCTCTGATTAGATTCAGCTTTTCGAAGGGAAGAAATTTTTAGTATTTCATTGTCATGTAGTCCCTTTCATATAGTATGTTACCATTTAAGGGTTACTCTGTCTCTTTACGTAAATTATTTCTAATCTCAACAGAATCAGAGAGGATAATAAATTTGCCTTAAGTCACAAAGCCAATACTAAATGCCTAATTTAGGATTCAATACCAGTCTGTGATTCCAAAATATCAGCCCTTTTCACTAATCAGATGTTCTAAATTAATGACTTGGAGGCATATTTTAACATGTTTTGAATTAGCCAATAATTTTTTAAAATCTGGAGCTATTACATTAAAAATATGGATTTTTTACTTTCTCTTAAAAATTTTGATAATGACATAGGTCTTATAGTCCTGCCTGGCAACAATTGGGTAGAGCTGAGCAGTGACCTTCTCCAGATAATTTATCCTTTATATCTAGCCCACTTATTTATATAACCTTGCAAACATCTGAGTTTATAAACCTTGCACTATTTTAAGATTTAATAAAACACTGCATCATTATTTAAGTAACAACATAAGTTGTATAAATGTGAATAGGATTTTTTTTTTCAGGGATTAATATGGGGTAGAGGTCGGGTAATGAGTTAAGACCATAAAACATACATGTTGAAGAAAGAAAAGGCATTGTTGAGAGAAAATCATTGACTAATACTAGAGCTGGTAAAGAGCTTAGTTCCTTTTTGGCAACAGGATTAGCTAAGGTTGGAAATTTAACTGTAGACAGTCATAAAAGCGAGGGTCAGATGTTTGAGGTTTTTCTATAGTAATTATTATAGGCTTTAACACAAAGGAATATGAACTTGGCTCCTAAAATTTAACTTTCATACATAATAAATACAAAAGAATGGTTCCATTTTTTTAAATTAAATTTTTTTAGATGTTGATGAACCTTTATTTTATTCATTTATTTATATGTGGTACTGAGAATCAAACCCAGTGCCTCACACATGCCAGGCAAATGCTCCACCACTGAGCCAGAACCCTAATCCTCTTTTTAAAAAGAGGTATTGGGGATTGGACACAGGGGCACTTTACCACAGAGTTAAATCTCCAATCCTTTTGTAAAATTTTTTATTTTGAAATAAAATATATTTTATTTATAGGCATGAGGTGCCAAGCCCAGCTCATTATACTTTTCCAAAAAAGGTAGGGATAACAAAGATATAGTCTACTTACTTTAAATGAACTTCAGTTTGGGAATGTATTGCTTCTCCCAACACATTTCCAGTTTCATCTACCACCGCAGCTGCTGTATCATCACAGCTTGTTTCAATACCCAATACTATTTTATGAAGAAATAGTGTTCCAGGATGAAAATTAAAACTTCTTAAAAATCCATCAACTTTCCTTTTGGATGGTTTAAAAAAAACTCGTGCTGTCTTATTCAATATTAGCATTATTACTAGTATATAGATAATTCCTGGAAAATAATTATAGAAACAAACATTACTTGGAACTAACATTAGGAATTAACCCACTCAAAATAATATGTGTGACTTATTTTTCAATACATACTTTTATAGAACTATAAGAAACTCTGCAAGAGTTACCAAAATTTTATAAAAGTTCCAGCAACCTGTCGATGTAAATAAAAGTATTAACGAGTATGAGGTTTTTCAAGAGGGAAAGAGAAATCAGATAAAACATTCTGTAATATTACAGGTTGAGGATCCCTAATTTAAAAATCTGAAACACTCCAAAAACTGAAATTTTTTGAGTACTGATATGATGACAGAAGTGGAAAATTTCACACCTGACTCCATGAATTATATCAGTCAAAACAGGTACATTAAAATATTATATAAAAATTAACTTCCAGCAATAGTATAAAGTAAGGTATATTTGAAATATACTTGAATTCATTTTAGACTAGGGTCCCATTCCCAAGATATCTCATGTATATACTAATATTCCAAAATCATCACCCCACCCCGAAAAAACAAAAAAGAAAAAGTCTGAAATCTGAGACACTGCTGCTCTCAAGCATTTTGGATAAGCGGATAAGGATGCTCAACTTGTGATATTGTTTTCATGCCATTCTTACCAATCTATTCGTTATTCTTTACAAAACAACTAATATTAATTACATGGATATTTCTCTAAAAACTGCTATTTTTCATAGTTAAAACCAAGATAAAATGTTTATTTTTTTATATCAAACAACAAATGCAAATAAAACAGATAAAAATAAATGCATCCTATTTCCTGGAAACATTTCTCAAAATAAAATTTAATCATTTGGTTTTAAAACAAAAGTTCATGTAAGACACACATATGCACACCCATCAAGACGCAATCTTGTAGTTTAGAAATAAGTCTTTTCATGAAGTTCATCCTAAAGAAACATATCTAAACTAAAATAGTGCAACCCAACACATATTTTATCCTTAATTACAATCTTAGGAATTAAATCTCCTTTTTTTTGCCACCAGGTTTATCATTACAAGTTTCTTCTCAACTCGTTTTTCTCCCACAAATTAATAATCCATCATTAAAGCACCCTAGTATTTTCATACTGCAAAGTAGGTCCTTTCCCTATCACACGAATGGACAAAATTAGGGGTTTAAAAAGGCAGCGAATAATATCGAAACTGAACAGAGAACATCCAGAGATTAGAGATGAGCGACCTAGTCGCAAAGGGCAGCTCAAGGAATGAGGCCCAGACAGAGAAATAGATTTGCAGTAACTCAATCCGAGCAGGGCAAATTGTGAGAAGTACTTCCTTTTCAGAGCAAGAACGCTGCTGAGTGACCGGGTGACTAGGATGGCAATGGGATCTCTGCTCTAAGAAAAAGGGTAGGGGGCTGCTCTAATTAGAGTTAAGGGGGAAACCTCTTCTCCAGTTGCACGAAACCATAGTGGGGCGAAAGGCGAAAGGTTAGCAATTCCACCCTCCTCCCTCCCGAACCTCAGTACCTAGCACTCGTCTCCTTTCCCTAGCAAAACCGGCTGACTGCCTCTCTCTGGCACAATCAAACCGGAGACTGGCGCCCCGGAAGTGATGTCGTCAGCACCGTGTTGGCGTCCTTCGTCCTGCCCTGGTTGCTGTAGCCCTAGAAAGCCGCGTTACTGCTCTCTCTTTCTTTTAAAATTTTTATTCTTATTTGTTATATATGACAGCAGAATGCATTACTACTCATATTACACATATAAAGCACAATATGAAAAAAATTTTTTTCATATGGAAACTGGCGCTCTTAGCAAGAGAAGTTGAATGTCCGATTTTGCCCCGGTCTCCGTTTGTGCACTGGTGCATTTCTTCCAGATTTGTAGGTAACCAGACTTCTGTAAGGTCACATAGCTAGTGACTGAGCCAGAGGAAGCCGAATGCAGACTTGCATTCGTTTAACATTGCGCTACATTCCTAAACAAGTTTGTGTGCGCTTTTGACTGGAATTTGGTTGCCACTGTGAGAAAAGGATGAAGTAGATTATTTGCCATTCCATTTTTAGGGGAACTACTACCAAGCCAGAATGTGGTGGCCCGAAATACTTAATACCGTACTTATCACAGAAAGGGTGTAAACTAGAAATGCCCACAAGAATTTGCCACGAGTTCCCAGAGAACGGACGTGCTTCTGGTCGGACAGTCTAAACCGTTACTCCCAATTCTTCACTAAGAGTAAAAAGATCTTGGTTTATTTTTGTAATCTTAAAGTAAATGGCCGTTGTAAATATTTTAAAAATAATACTTTTCATATTGCATTATGTAGTCCCTGCTTACTGTGTAAGCAATCTCCAGCATGGAATGTATTCATATCCTTTTTTCTTAGTTCGTGAACTTGTTGCCATTTGTTTGAATAAATACATTCCAAGAATTTTTTCTCTCCCCTCGCAAGGCTTTAAGGTTTCAGTAAATAAGGGCCTTATAGTGCAGTGCAGTGTATGTGTGTGTATTTGTGTCTTACATGGTGTTGAGTGCTGAGTATAAAGGATTGGTGAAGTATATGGAGAAGTCACAGAGAACACTCTAGGGGTAGATACAAATAAGTAAATGCATAATTACCACAATACTGTTGAGATTGTTTTTGGTTCGAAATTAACGTTTTTCCAAACTTTCATTTATGTGAAAATACATCAGTAAAGTGTCATTTATTATGTACCCAGCACTGTGGTAAATTAATTTATTTAATCTTTACAGCAACCCCCAAAGGTAGTTACTATCTTCATTTTAGGTGCAATTAGGTGCAACTGGGCCACAGGGTTTAGATGATTTGTAAACCACACAGCTAGTAACTGCAAGTTAGGATTAGAAGTCAGCCCATATGGCTCTGGATCCAATTTTCTTAATTGCCAGAAAAACTCATATTTTCTTTAGGGTGCATTGTTAACATACACTCCCAAATAAAAGGATAAAAGAAGAATTAAGACCTAAAGATTAAGAAAAAATTAGTCATCCTGTTTGATTATATGATAGAAGTTATTTCTGTTATATAGTGGAATCTAGTCTGAACATGAAACCTTTCATAGCTGGTATTATTTTTCTTACAATTGAAATTACATTCAGTAGGTGTCTCCCAGAGCTCTCCTGTGCTGTCAAGAGTTATCCCTTTGTGTATGTTAACATATCATTTAGCTGATTCCTGGTCTAAACACTCCTGACAGTATCAAATCTCTATGCTGCACTATGTGGAATAGCAGAACTCTAGAGCACAAATTTAGGAAGTGAGGGAATACATCCTCATTTTTTTCTACTATACTGGAGAGGGTTTTTTTTTTGTTTGTTTTATTTTTTGTGGTGCTTGGGATTGAACCCAGGGCCTCATGTATTTGAGGCAAGCACTCTACCAACTGAGCTATATTCCCAGTCCAGGAGAAGGCTATTGAGGGAAAGGCAAGTATGTATGTTGTCTGGAATTTCATGCAGATATCATATCGTTAGAATGCCACCTTTGTAACTTCAGAGTTACAACTGAATCTAAATACTCCCACTTTGTCCAATTTACCACTTGTAATCCTTAGAGAAAAATTATATCTGATTTTTTTTTTTTTTTTGGTGATTCTGGAGATTGAACCCTAGGCCTTAAATCCCTAGGCAAGTGTTCTACCACTGAGCTACAACCCCAGCTAATAATAATAATAATAATAACAACACAACAATCATCATAATAATTGTATTTTATAATACTTATTTCCTAATTATGTCTTCCTAAGTTGGATTTTTTTTTTTTTTTTTGAGACAGGATTGATATGTTGCCCAGGATTGATATGTACTAAATTCCTGGGTTCAGCCTCTCATTGCATCTGGCTGGATCTTTCATCACGTATTTTTTTTTTTTTCTTTGTGCTAAGAACTTTATTAGTTGTTAGAACTAAAGAGATAAAAGCCATTCCCCTCCTTAAGGATTTCAGTCTAGTGGCAAAAGACAGATAATAGGCAATACAGAGTTATGGATGTAGAAATGGAAAGTGTACACTGAGAGGCGTGGCTTGGAGAAGGCCTAGTAAACTGCCAGATGTATCCAGTGGCCTGGCAGGAGCATGGTGATTACTTGGTTTCAATATCTTGATTCTTTAAATAGGCTTGAAATTGCCTTATCAGGTCTGGAAGTGACTGGACTCTGGGGTACTGAATTACACATCAAAGATTGCTAAGAAATTGTTGGGTAAAAAGCATTGATGCTAATGTATTAAGTTGTGAGAAATGCAGCGAAGGGGAGCTAGAATAGTTGCGGTTGCTGATCATCATCTTTGTGTTGACCAAATTACAATTAAAGCTAAATCCAAATCATAATCAGAGGATTTCTTGGTAAATACAGAATGGAAATGAGTTTGGTGCTTTTAGTGACTAATATTTCTACGCCTTAGTCAAATCCTTCCCACTGAGTCACATAACTGTCTTATTTTTTGTGGTACTGGGGATCAAACCCAGGACCTTGCACATGCTAGGTAAGTGCTCTATCACTGAATAACATCCTCAGCCTGTTCTTATTTTATGGTAAATTGTTCAGGCTGACTTCAATCTTTCTGCTTCAGTCTCCGGAGTAGCTGGGATTATGTGTGTAAACCATTATGTCGTTTGTCTTACATCCTTTGTTCATTGGATTATGCTGAAAATATGCTACTGTTTGCCTTTCTCCTAATTTTCTTTACTATTAGTGGTGATACTTTAAAATTTTTCTTTTTATTAGTGGTGATACTGTCAGGTCTGCTTTCTGGAATATATTTTGCTTTTTATGTTTGCTAAGCCATTATGCTTATTTTACAATCTAACTTTCAGATTGTCTTTTTTATGATGTACATATTTATAATTTTAAGTGTATAGTTAAGTGGCATTAGATGCAGTCACATTTTTCTGCAATCCTCCAATCTTTCATCTCTCAAACTGTAATTATATACCCATTCAAAAACTGCCCTTTCCCCTCCTTCCATAACCCCTGGCAACTTCCATTCTACTATCTTTAGGATTTGATTACTCTAACTCCTTCATGTAAGTGGGATCATACAACATTTGTCCTCATGTCTGGCTTATTTCACATATCTTAATGTCTTCAAGGTTTATTCATTTCTAATTTGTATAAAAATTTCCTTCTTTTTTAAAGCTAAATTCTATTATGTATATATTCCACATTTTAACCATCTGTTGGTGGGGCACTTGAGTTGCTTCCACCTTTTGGCTATTGTGAAAAATGCCACTGTGAACATGGGTGTACAAATATCTGTTCCAAGTTTTTGCTTTCACGTTTTTGTATATACTCAAAATTGCTGGATCATATGGTAATTTTGATTTTTGAGGAGTCTCCATACTCAGATGATCTTAGTGTACAGGGTCTAAGTGTGGTTTCAGTAGGGAAGACAGAGGGTGAATCTCTTTGTTGTTTCCCTATACACTCTGATTGTTAAATGTCATGATAATGCTATTAGAGAAGCATATGGTTTGAGTAGAATTCATAGAACAAATGTTTCAAAGGATCACTGTATTTTATCAGGCAACAGGCAATAAATCAGTTAACTTTTGAGTTCACATTTAAAAAATGATAAAAATGAAAAAATAATGCATATTTATCTTGATAATATGATCAACCTAAATATACAACAGTTGAAAAATCTGGAAATTTTTCCAAATAATATCATAAATAAAAATAATTTATAATTGTATAATGGGGAAGTCAGAAAAAAATCCTTTCATATTTTGTATTTTAAAAAGAGCTCATTCTGGGCTGGGGTTGTGGCTCAGTGGTAGAGTGCTTGCCTCACATGTGTGAGACACTGGATTTGATTCTCAGCACTGTATATAAGTAAATGCATAAAATAAAAAGTTCTATCAAGAACTAAAAAAATAAATTTAAAAAGCTCATTCTACAGTGTTAATGAATTTGGTTTGTTCCTTTACTGTACTTCTTATATTTGAGATTATCTTTGTAAACATGTACTTATGTAGAGTGAAAGGACACAATGATAAACTTGGTGTTATCTACTAAGTATAAAATTATACAGAACTTAAGAGCTATAGGTGAATCATTTCCATTATCATGATTTATCAAGGGTTTGAATAACAAATCATGATATGGAGTTTGATTCAAACTTCCTGTTTTACTTATATTTTTATTAAACCTTTTTCTAACTATATTTTGGATTATGGAAAAGTTCTGAGAATAAGATAAACAAGTTCTGTGAGCCCAATACCCAGTTAAGGTAGATAAAATGTCACCTAACGCAGTTGAAGCAGTATGTGCACATACACCCAAGATATTCTGAATTTGATGTTTATGAATTCATTTTTTAGCTAAATGAGAAATTTTAAACACACACACAAACTACTTGCTTAATCATTTTTAATTAGAACTGAAATAAAAACCTGCAAAGTGTCACAACTTTTCTTTTTGACACCAGGCTATTCTTATTTCCCCCTTCCCTAGGCCTCTCTAATATTACCCACACTAGGTACTGTCCATGTTACTGTTTTGTGAAGTAGTCTTTTCTATACTGTTAGACTTTTATACTGACTGATTGGGTTGTTGTCTTCATGAATACCAGGTTCATTTTTTTTTTTTGGTGGGGGTTATATTTCCTGGTTTACTAAATCCACTTAATAAGCATTTGAAGGTAAAACCTTCATTAATAGCACTACATGCTGAAGATGTGAGATTTTAGTGACTATTAAAGTGAATCAATGATATTTGGCTATCAAAATAGCAAGTGATATTAGGTTGCACTGAAGGAAAAAAAAAGCATTGAGAACAAAAGAAGTGGTAGTACAATCATGTCACATCTCTTTGCCTATTGAATTTAGAGCACAATTATTAGGAAAGTGGGAGAAATTTGAAACTATTGTTTGGAAAATGGTGAGGTAGTGAGGACTATGGTAATGTTTATTCAATGCTGCTGTTTCAGTGTTATCTTTAAATAGATGAAGAGTTATGTGGAATATGGATTAGACTTCAGATCAATGTAAAACAAGTTCTAAATTCCATTACCAAGCTAATTATTTTTTAATAAAAAATTGAGATAATTATGGATTCACATGCTCTTGCAAGAAACAGTACAGAGTGATCTTTTACCCCAGTTTCCCCAAATGGTAATATCTTGCATAACTATAGCACAATAACATAACCAGAATATTGACAGTGAAATAATTCAGATTTGATTCAAACTTCCGGTTTTACTTATACTTGTGTGTGCCTATACATGTGTGCATTTCGCTCAATGAAATTTTAGCATGTGTATTTTACATATCCACTGCCAGTTAAGATATTTAAAAAGTTCCATCACCTTTGGGTCCTCCATGTTGTGTTTTGATCAACTTCCTCCCTTCTGCACTATCCCCCATATCTAGTCACTAGCAACCACCAATGTTTTTATCAACTCTATGGTTTTTTTTTCCCCCTAGTTATTTCCTCCTCTATTACTGTTAAAACAGAACTGAACAGAGGACTGGTAATTAATGAAGATTCAAGCTAAGGCACGAAACTGAATTACATGGTCTCTAAGGATTTTTCTAACTCTTTTCAATATATAGTTGTACACAGCTAATTTACAAAGACATAGTCCCATAGACAATATCTCCCCCTGCCTTAAAAAAAAAAAAAAAAAAAAGGAGCAGGTCAAAAGGACACAGGAACTAACGTGGAAAAATTTCCAATGGTCAAAGATAGAGGACAGTATGAGCAACAAATTAATGACAACAAAGGATTATAACCCAAAGAATAAAACACTGATGGGTCTATAATGTAAACTAATGAATAAATAAAGTAGTACAGACAAATTTTTCTTACAGAATAATTCTAATAAATAAATATAGAAGGAATGAGGGAAATAGAAAATCATCATTAGCAGTCCATAATAAATATCACTGCAGGAAAGATACACTAAAGTTAGTAGCATTTCCAAGCTCATGTCTACTTAGAAATTGCCATTATGTCTCCTGACTTGAAGTTAGTAGCAACTATTGCATGCTATTAGGTTTTGGTTACTAAAAGATATTACTGCATAAATTCATAAAATTGGGTATTTTCCATAATTAACACAATCATTCACCTAGATATTTATAGCCCAAAACTAGGAGTCACTTTAATTACCTCCTGCAATGCTACATTCAACACATCCATGTCTTTCAATACATCAGTGTCTAGTGAGTTATACTTGCAAAATATATCCCAAATCTGACCACTTTTTAATAACTGATCTGCTGCCTTAGTCTGAGCTACTTCCTGTCTGCAGTAGCTTTCCAACTATTCTACCTGCTTTTTATTCCCTTATTCTCAACATTAGTCAATGATCTTTAATATAAAATTAGATTTATTTAATCTTCTGTATAAAACTCTAATGGCTTAGTCGTATTTACAATAAAATCTGCTTATTAGTTTGATCTAAAGAGTCCTTTGAGATCTGGCCCCTACCTACTTCTCGAATCCCACATGCTACCATTCTTCTTCTCCTTGCTTATTTCTATCTAGTCCCAATGGTTGTCTTATTCTTCGTCAATGTCTCCATTCTGCCCCAAGACCCTTAATATCTGTCATTACCTCCTGGGAATCATCTTTCTTTCCCCAGATCTTGGTACTGCTTGTTTCTTTTCTTTTTTTGTACCAGGGATTGAACCCAGGGGCACTCAACCACTGAGTCAACATCCCCAGCCCTTTTTTCTATTTTATTTAGAGATAGGGTCTCAATGAGTTGCTTAGGGCTTTGCTAAGTTGCTAAGGCTGGCTTTTAACTCACAATCCTCCTTGCTTCAACTGCTTGTTTCTTCACATCAGCAAAGTTTGTGTTCAAATATCACCTCGGGATCCTGAGTGAAGAATTTCTTCTGAGTCAGGCCTGTATCTGCTTATTTTTTTTTTTCATAGGATTTATTATTACATGAAATAATATGTATTTGTTTATTCATTATCTGTCCTTTGACTAGAATGTAAACACCTCCAGGGAGGGAAATGGTTTGTCTTTTTACAAATTATCTGTAACACCTTCAATAGAGTGGGCCCTCATATATCTATTGAGTAAATATTTTTAAAACACTAAAAGGAGAAAGGGAAAATGTATCTTTGAAGTATCTTTGAAGTAACAAAGGAGTATTTTTAATTACCTTAAAATTTAACTTGCTTAAAAATTAACTTGAAAATGTCAATATAGCATTGATGACTGAATTGGAAAGCTTTTGAAATAATCTTACACCAAGGAAAAAATTTTATTAAAGTATAGATTACCAGTTATTTAAAAATACATAAGACAAATATACAAAGGCAGTATCATACAACTGATTTCTAAACTCAATACTTTTGAAATACAAAACAATGATCACTAACCTGAAAAGTCAGTTTGTTGACAGAGATTGATCTTTAAGTTGATCAAAAACTCCTTTCACTCAATTTTGTTTATATGTATTACTCAGTTTTTCAGTTTTATCATTTATCAGAACTTTGTTTTTCTGTTTGTTTGTTTCTTTTTTAAATGTGATTGCTTCTCAAGTATAGTTTTTTCTTGCAATTAATGTTAGCAACTATAGGTAACTTCCCTAAGTCACAAGAATTCAATATAATCACTACTCTAAATAGTTACCATTTAGAGTTACCTATACTAAGACTCATGTGTTTAAAGTAAAAATATTAACAAGCAAACTATAGGGGCTGAGAGCAGGACTAAGGAAAGACAATCTTATCTTTTACTACAGACCTGCTAAAACAAAATATCTATTACTTACTTTGGTACTATGGCTAGAGAAGCAGTTACTGCTAGACCACAGGTAGCTATGTAGCTGTCCATTTTATATTTCCTTTTCTAAGGAATGACAGACTTTACCAATTAAGTTTCTTAAACCTAAAAAACAGGCACCTATAAACAACCCTGTACTTTAACTTCTTGAAATAAATTATTTTAACTGGTTTATTAGCAGCCTTGTGTCTGGAAAACCAAGTAAATCTGTTTTGTTCCAAAATTAGAATGCTGACTCAGATGGTATCTTCCAGCATCAGTCATGAAGGTGGACCTTCAAAAACTATGTAATATAATAAATGCAAAAATAATTTCATCTATCAACACATAATACTGAGCCAGCAAAAAAACAAAAACAAAAAACGCCACACTCATAAGATAATTCATAAGAAACTGGTTTGTACAAAATAAGTATATATCCTCTTACATAAGAGAAATATATATGGTAATAAAAGTAATCTATAATAAACTTATAGAGATGATTCCGATTTACATGTTAAGTCTGCCTAAACTAATTGTCACTGAAGGACTGAAAATTTTCTTTTCCTCATGTCGTGCCCATCATTATAATTAAGCCGGTCCTAGTTTCTTACAAATATCTTACTTCCTTGGATTTATCTACTACACCCTCACTATACTGCAATTAACTTATACGCTGGGCCTGCCCAGCCTGCCTATAAAGCCTTTCTTCCAAAATATACCAGATGTATTAAACAGAGGCATCATTTAGTAGGATTCTGCACTTCAAGACAGCATCTGAAGAACCAGCAATTGGTCCTCTGATGTAGATACCTCTCATTTCACATTATCACAGAAACAGTGCAGTTTACCAACTACTCCTTCCTTACAGGAAACTCAGTAGCTGTAAAAATTTTGTTCAGTTTCAAACATTTCAATACTTATTAATTCCAAAGATCCGAACACCATGTAGTTGGGGCATTTTGGGAATAAGCACACTCAGAAGAGAAGCTGTGTTTAGGATGAAGTGAGTTGAATCATACTTCGTATAGAAACTTGCCAGAAAATATCTGTTGAGATAAAAGTCAAGAATACATGTAACATCCAAAAATGAAATTATTTAGAATTTTAAAAAATTAAAAGGTAGAAAAAAGGCCACCAAACACAAATACCTAAAAGTAAAACCATTTTGGATCACTAAAATAAAAATTTTAATTTAGGTCCAAGTTTATTTTAGATTGGTATTTAAAAGTGTGTTTAGTGGTGGTGCACATTTTGCATTTCTGTAATTATGTTAAATACATTTAATAGAATGCACTGCAATTTAGCAGAAGCTTAAAGTGGAAAGCTTTCAAAATAGGTTGCATATGCCCTCTGAGACTTCAAATGTAGTTTTGTATTTATGTATATATTTCTGGATCCAAAGCATCCATCATGGTCTCAAAGGGTTTTGTGACTCACCAAAATGTTAAGAATCACTATTGTAAACCTTTGAAAAATTAGGGTTTTGGTAGTACAATTCAGTATCTTTGAAAGAAATAAATAACTGGTTGTCCTTTTGATGTTCTCATTTTTGTACTATAGTTGAACAGGTCTATAATCAATCCAACTGGAAACCTGAAAGTTACCGTTGTAAAATTACAACTGTTTTGCTATAACTAAACACATGCACACAGTCAGACATTTAACCATCCGAGAATTTGTTTTAATAAGTGTAAACCACCTTTAAGACCATAAAATGAGCCCAGAACATCTAGTTTTACCCAAGGATATAAAGAGTGCAAATATATCCTCTGGCTACAAAGAGCACTCTCACATTGATAGGATGTGAATCAACATAATGCCTTACTTGATCAAAACTAAGAATTTAGTTTCCATATAGTTGTCAGTCTAATTACTTTCAGAGAACATAGGAAAGTATTCTAATAGCCTCTCCTCTATTGTCATTCGTTTCTCCTCAGGGAAGAGACATATATAACATGGTCAGAAAAGAACAGCTATTTCCAAATATGTCTGAAAACATCAGACAACTGTATACATCATTACCAGAACTGTTTAGACTGAAAAATTCTACATCTATTTCAAAAGTAGCCAGAAAATTCTTTCTTGAGTAAACCATATTCTTTGATTTTTGCTTTATATTGTTTCTTCCCACTTTCATAGACTTTGAAGACTATTTTTATACTTCCTTCACGGAATAAAACAGGGTTATCAGTTGCATTTAGTAAGCACATTTGATTTGCTGTCATCATTATAGGTTTAATCTATAACCTGATAGGCTGAAATAAATTTAGTGCATCTTATCATACTATTAGCCTATGTACCTGGTGTTTTAATGAAACCTAATTGTGTGTGTAGATTATATGAAAATTATCTGATTCTTATTATCAGCATCCCAAGGTCACTGAGATTATAGGCATGCACCACAGTGCCCAACAGAATCTGTTTCTTTATCTAAAAATCTGGAATAACACTGTATGTCACACCTACCTGACAAATTACGATCAAATATGAAGATTGGAAAGCACTCTGAAAAGTACTGGGGCTAGGGATATATAGCTCTGTGATAGAGCACATGCCTAGAATACGTAAGTTTCGGGGTTACATCCTCTGCACCACACACAAAAAATAAATAAAAAATAAAATAAAAATAAAATCAATGCTATAAAGATGGTTTCAATGTTGTTTCTTTAGTTATGTTAGGAATTTAATCAGAATAGCTGAAATCATACCTGTGAGTCAAAAAAATATTTTAAGAAATTATTTGACTGTTTTCATGATAGTTATTATTACATATATTAAGTACAATTCCTGGGGCTGAGGTTGTGGCTCAGTGCTGGAGCACTTACCTTGCATGCATGGGGCACTGGGTTCAATTCTCAGCACCACATTAAAAAATAAATAAAGGTATTGTGTCCATCTATAACTAAAAATTAAAAAAAAAAAAAAAAAGATACAATTCTTGGGGCTACTGAGGTTTTCAAGAATGGCCAAAGTCACATAGCTTGAAAACAACAGAGCCAAATCTCAAATTTAGGACTAAAACAACCTTTATTTTTATTCTTAATATTTATTTCAGTTAGGCCATACAGACATTTTTCTTTTGAGGTTAATTCCTGCCCTCTTGCCTCCCAGTACTGGGGATTAACTCAGGAGCACTCTCCCACTGATCTACATTCCCAACCTGTTTTACTTTTTATCTCTAAATAGGGTCTTACTAAAATTGCTGAGGCTGGCCTCAAACCTGCAATCCTCTTGCCTTAGCCTCCCAAGTTATTGGTTTTATAGGCATGTGCCACTGTGCTTGACTTTTGAGGTTTAAGAGTCATAACTAAACCAATTCAAAGTTCCTATAAAATGCTATAAATGTAAAGAAAAAGAAATCCATGACTTTATGATCAGTTTATTCCTTCACTTGAAAATGTAATCCCTACTTAAACATCTATCCAAATCTATGACTCTTTAAATCTAGCTTAAAAAATTCCATCACCTCCTGAAAGTCTTTCCACCTACCCCAGACTACACTGATTCCATCATGGATATAGCATTATGTCTGAATTCTGTGGTAGAGTGTTAATTAAGACATATGTGAACCTATTTATTATGTGCAAGACACTGAGTTTGGGATTCAAAGCAATCTATGTACTTATACACTCTTAGAAGGCAAAAAAAAAAAAAAAGTGTATATACAATTTTTCCAGTTGTATCTAAGGTGAGGTGGGGGCAAAACAGAAGAGCTTGCTTAACCACGTGAGAGTGGGTGGGGATAAAATATTTAGATAAATGGAAAATGAGGTAGAAAGGATTGTATGGAAAGCCCTGATATCAAATAATAAGAGAAAATCAGATACAAGATACAAAATTAAGATAGCTTACAAATAGATATTATCTTATTTATCTCTCATAGCATCAAGTTAGGTATCTTTAGCTAGAATTTTATACGTGAGCAGACTAAGCTGAATAAATGGAAGACACAGGATTCAAGTCAGGTCTGTCCTACATGCAAAGCCCAGAATTTCTTTTTTTAAACTATATTTTCTTCTCCCAAAGAATTCGAAGATCCAAATAAGGCTGGGTTGCCATTGAAATTCTTCTGATCTTCTAAATTACTGTTTAGTGAGATTAATCTGATAGTGCAGTACGGGATATGATCATGTGTTTAATTTTCTTATATGAAACTTAAGGACATGTATTAAACTACATATCCTAGAATGTCTACGTATACTGAAGAACATGTAATGTCTCCAAATGTACTAACTGAAGTGAAAATTGCTTTATCATCAACTTGTTAAATAACTTGCCTGTGCCTTACACCACATCTGAGGTACTTACTTATTGATAGAAGTTTTCAACAAAATATTTTGTTTCTAACTCTAATTCAATCTGATAAACGGACAACTTCCTATTACCCAATCTTCTTTATACTTATATATTTCTGCCACTTACAGAATTATTGGAGAAATTGTGAAAAACTTCCGTGAAGATGTAAACTGTACTCCATAGTCCAGTTGTTCCCAATGAGTTAGGAGCCTTGCTTTACCTTGGTCAGGAGTTTCAAAAGGTGTTCCTTTTACTGCATGCAAAAATACATACATCCCCTGAAAAACAAGCAAGGTGATATATAACCAATAACAAATACAAAATTTGTCCTAGTGAGTTAAGGGTAAAGCTGGTTCCAGGGTATCTATGAGTGTATGATTTTATTGAACAGTTCAAATTTTAAGATTTCATAACCAATTAAAGACTCTGGCCAGTTTCTGCATGGCAAATAAAACTTTCTGAGATATAGAAATATTATTGGATGAAAATCAGTAAAAGATTAATCCAAAGTAACTTATTTTCATAAAGTTGAAGATAAAAGTATCATCAGGGTAGTTTCACATCATTACAGTTAGGTTATCTAACACCTTTCCTAGAAACAGGATTACCTTTTTCCAAATGTACAGGGAAACTTTTCTTCAATGTTATATTAGTAAATCTGATGATACTTACCTCTGCTTTAGTAGTTATCTTCCATAGCAACAAAGATGGTTTGATGTAATAAGTATAATGTTCAACTCAATTCCCTTTTAAAATCACCACTGTGCCTCTATGGTGTTTCTTTTGAAGTCAGGTTTTAAAAAATTAGAGAAAAACATATTTGGTATTGGGGGTTGATCCCAGGGGCGCTTTACTACTGAGCTACATCTCCAGTCCTTTTTATTATTTACTTTAAAAGAGGGTCTTGTTGAGTTGCTGACCATGAGTTATTGTGCTCGGCTAGTAAAACACACTGCTAAGAGCTATTCTGACTATATATTTTTCACATCTAATTTTGTAGTAAATAGCAAAAACAATGTATACTCGATTTGGTTTCATTGAGATTATGATGCTAATTTATACTGATAAGTAGTCCTTTATTCATTTCACAATCACTGTTTGAGGCACTAGTAAGAGCATAAAGCCTAAATATTATTATGAAACTGTTTTCCCTTTACAAGCCATGATATGAAGTCATTTTTTTCTACTTCAACTTTTAAGAAATATATAGAAAAAAATGTTTTGCGATTTTATATTGAACCGGATTGAAAGAACTGTATCTTTCAAAGCTTGGTTGGCTTCATAGTATTAACTAGCTGCAAAACACCTAACCTATGGAGGAAAGAACTCAGGCTTCGTTGAAGTCCACAAACACTTAATGGTGACTTGTGTGTGTAAGACACATAACACGTATGCACATATGAGATTCAACAAGACTTGTCTCCAGCCTTGAAAAAACATTCAGTCTTCTAAGGGATGCTAAGGAAAAAAACACACACAAAACAACTAGAAGGTAAGGCGGACACTGCTATCAAAAGCCCCACCAGAGTACTCGGGAAATACAGAAGGAAAGGACTGTTTCTGTGGCAGAAGCCTTGATGCTACCCTGTCAACTACCTCATTGTTGATGGTTCAGCTCAAATGAAAACTCCTTAGTGAAACCCTCAGTAGTAATAATTAACCACCTGTTTATGTGCTTGCATAGAATTTCACTGAAAATACTTTTATTGCAGCACACTATATTGTGTGAAGAGTTGTTTGTGTAATGTTTGTTTTCCCATTAACCTGAATACTTCAGGAAAAAGGGCTAGTACCGGCAAGTATTAGATATATTGGAAGACAAGATTAATCCAAGACCTGTTTGTGCTATAAGCACTAGGAAACCATTTTTATAAGGGCTTTAAAGGAAACAATGAAGCAGAAAGTATGTGCCTTCAAATTCTCTTGTGATTCCAAAACAGTATGTTTGATTATATATCTTCTACCCCAATATTTTTAAAAGTTCTCATATAGAAAAGAGAATATTTATTTCATGGCTAGTCCTTAATCAAATAAAGAGAATTCTTTCATTTTTAAGGCTAATAATTTTGTGAAGCATTAAAATATCATGCTGGGCGTTATAGCACTGTATAAAAAGAATCACTAGGTTTCTATTATATGGTTCAGAGAGGTAAATATATTTTTCTGCTGGGTGCAATAATTAGGTTTGTTTTCCCATGTTTAAAAGCATTCAACATGCATTTCACATTTTTAATTGGTTTAATGTAAGCTATCTTCAAAGGAAACTTAAAATTCAGAGTCATGTAATTGCTACATCTGTGGGTAGCTGAGTTAGGTGAACTAATAATAAATCAGAAGTTTGCTTTCCTACATGGTGTCAATTGCTTATTTGTTCATGACCATATACTGTGCCTCAATTCAAGTTAATCAACTTGAAAACAAGGAGTATGGGGAGAGGGAATAACTTCTAAAATACATTTAAGACATGTGCCATTTTAAAAGGGAAAATTCTAGGCCAGCCATGGGAACTTAGCAAGACCCTGACTCATAACAGAATTTTAAAAAAGGATTAGCTCAGTGGTAGAGAGCCCTAGTTCAATCCCTAGCACTTCCCAAAACAAAAAACAAAACAAACAAACAAACAAAAACTCCACAAAAGAGGCAATAAACTACTATTTACTACTAATTATGAAACTATGATAAATAGGTGATAATAGAACGTAGAGATGTATAGATTTCTGAAAGAGGTAAACCTGAATAGTCTTCAACAGAAATCAGGCAAGAAGGATAGGAAAGTATTAAAAAACAGAGCTGAAGCCAAACCAAAGAAGTGAGAGCAAGTTGATTTCCTTTATTGCCAGAGTTTAGAGATGGTGAAGACTGTGTTTAGAGATGGTTAAGGCCAAGTACCTTTCTTGCCTCTACACTCTTATAACTTGTATTAGATGCTGCGCAAAGAACTTTGGATTTTACCATATATGCAATGGAGAATCCCTGAAGGACTTGAAAGTGTAACTTGACAGTGAAAAAGAATAAAATGTGGGTTCAGGGTGTAGCTCAGTGGCAGAGTGCCTGCCTAGTATGTGTGAGGCCCTGGGTCAATGCCTGTTACCAGAGATTTAAAAAAATACATAAAATGCAGACATGAATTTTAAAAACATTTCTCTGCCACAGTGGCATAGAGGAGGGTAGAGGAGCACCAACAATAATTTTATAGGAGTAATTTACCTGAGGAAAAAAATGAGGGTGTGGGGATATAGCCGACAGTAAAGCAGAAAGACAGGAAGGGTTCTGACCAAAAGGATAGGGAAAATAAAAGAAAATGAGGACCACATATCCTGGTTTGCATAGGACAGTTCTGATTTACACCTATTCTCTTGGAGTAGTTATTACTAGAGCTCCCTTTTATTCTTAAAACAGTTTCAGTCTGAATGATACATTATATCAATTGCTTTACCATTGACATTCAGCTGTCTGGCTGGTTTATCTGGCAGACCCTGATGTCTCTAGATAAGATTAATAACAATCAGAAATCAAGAATATGATGAGTTTAGATGGTACTTTTTTTGGTTTATGATGCATAGTGATCTGGTAATATGCATTTGAGCATCATTAGTCTACATGTAGAAACTCAAAATATGGGTAGATGAAGTAATCTAGATAGAATATATAGCACAAGAGATAAAAAAAAAAAAAAAAGGATAAGCAATATTTATGAAAAGAAAAGAGAACATATAAAGACCCTGCAATAATGACTGAGAAGGAAATCAGAAATATACCTTAGAGAAAGTGAGCCCATAGAAGCCAAGGAAGAGTTTCAATAAAAAGAGGGTAATAGTGTCAAATATTTCACAGAAGTGAAAACCAGTGTTCACTGGGTGTTATGTTATGGCATGTGCCTCTAGTCCTAGCTACTAGGAAAGCTGAGGTAGAAGGAGGATCACCTGAGCCCAGAGAATTTGGAACCAGTCTTTGCAACATAGTATTTGTTTGTATTTGTATTTGTTTGTAAGAACCATGTCTTACAAACAAATACACACAACAGTGTTTGACCTACTAAGGTCTATCACATAAAACGGACTAAATGAATATTCACCTATCATTTTCACCAGCATGTCACCCTTGACCCCCTTTGGTCAATTTCAAGTATACTCCAGAAAAATGTAAAATAAATGTTAATTTTTAAAAATCTATTTCTTCTACATTTTTCTTATTGTTCTGAGTTCTTCATTTTAAAAATATCTTTAAACAGTTCATTTGTATTCAATTAAACTTCTCTATTAACTTTATTTTTCTTTCATTCTACTTCATTAAGGCATTAAAGACAAGAAAAGTCACTATCAAGATTGTTGTGTGAGTGGGTTTTGGTTTTTAACAAGCAAATTCCAGGGCTGCCAGGGCTGCATTAATATGATCAGTAGAGTCAAATTTCTAATACTTTGTAGAGCTAATACAATACAGTTAATATACAGAGAGAGTGAGAACAAATACAGTGAAGGCATCATAAGATGCTAAACATGATTAAGCTTAAAATCTCTACTGAAACAAGAAAGTATATGTACACAATTTAGAAAGATTTAAGAAGGATTAAAATAAAAGATTTTAATTGGATTGTAGGTAACCAAAAATCACAATTGCTTCTGAAATACTCTGGTTGATTGACAGATTCTATACAAACAATAGGAGGAAAAGTCCCACTTAGAAGAAAGGTCCAATGTTAAAGTGTGGTAGAAAAAAATAAAATCCTATCCCAGATTATAATTCTTCAAAACTGACACTTATACACTACAAACTACTGAATTGTACAATTTTTTTATAGTGTAGGGGATGAACTATACATTCTAAATAGGTGAATTTTATAGTATATGAACTATATCTTTATAAATCTGTTAGAACACACTAAGTTGTTGGTTTGCGGGTGTAGCTCAATGGTACAGGACTTGCTTAGGATGCTCAAGACCCTGGGTTTGATCCCCAGCACAGCCAGAAAACAAAAAACAAAACAAAACAACCCTACAAGAAAAACCCACAAAATACTATCCATGTTTTTCTTTGTAATGTATTAAGTACATTCATGTTGTTATGGAACCAGAACCTCTTTCATCTTGCAAAATTAAAACTGACCCATTAGACAATAAATCCCCATTCCCTCTTCCCCTTAGCCTCTGGCAACCACTCTCTCTTAAGATTTTAAGTGTTTATAATAAGGTGAAATTCTTACCAGATTATGTATAATATTTGTTAAGGTCCAAGCAACAGGAACACTGAAGAAAGGAATGCTGAGTAAGACAATATGGAGCAAGCCAACTCCCAATGCATATGTCAGCCACATACCCCGGCTGTTCATTACACGGGTATTTGGATTCACTTCACTGTGGGCAACTCCAACATTCATGTTTGCTCTGAAGAGAAAAAATAAACAGTGATATAGCTGGAAATCTAAATACTCCTAATTCTGACACAATGAAATATTACCAGGATTATTTTTCCTTGTTATTCTGAAATAGAACACACACCCTCCAAAATGTGCTACTTGCAGATGCTGGTATAGGCAGCAAAGAAGCTTTAATATCTTACTTAACGGTAAGATAAACAAGACTTATTTTTATGGTTCCCTTTCCTAAAACTTGTCTTCTAAGATGTCAGTTTTAGTGAATGAAATAATGGACAGGAAAACTCAAACTTAAAAGAGAAATGTCTATTTTTTTTTACATTATGAGCACAGTTAAGTCATGAGCTAAATTTACCAACAGAATAAACATTAAAAAAAAAGAAAAAGGGGGGAAAAAAAAAAGAACCCACATAGCCAGTCTGTTCTGAGTAGTGAGATGCTTATATCTAATGTAATGTTGTACCCATGCAGTAGTCAAAGAGTTCAAAGCACTCCTTTTTGAGTACTGAACCTGGAAAGAACATGTTGATATAATGTGTAAAATTTATGTGGTCAGGGATAGGTTTGTTTCTCAATTTTGTGACACACTAGACTTAAAAAAGCAATAAATCTTTCTTCCGAATATTTCAATAACTCTAAAACTTTAGTTTTTCTTCCTTTTTTGAAAGTTTTCCCTTCCTCTTTTATATTCAAAATAAACACCAAAGTAAAAAATGACAGTAGCCCTCAGTCATTTTAATTATAATGTTTACTTAGGTCTAAGAATTCCTTAAACAATATCAAATTGTCCTAAAGAATATCTATTAGAAGTCTAAGAAGGGGGGAAATGGGGTTAGATTACATTTTAAGAACTCCCCATTAAAAATATACATTGACTCTTTTTTACTACAGAGCTAGCAAAGAGGAATTTTTTCATAACCATATCCTAGCAAGTGTTTCTGGAATATAATGTCCTTTTACTCTGTCAAGATCTATGGAATAGGCATCAAGGCTTAAGGTGATGAAAGTTAGTTACACTAAGACAAAAGTTAGTTTCGTGTGTAAATATTTCTTCTACTATAAAAACCCATCATTTATGGTACCTTATTTTTAAATTTTATAAATTGTACTTAGAACATGACTTAAGATAGTTTTCCCAATTTCCACACTGTCTTCGCAAACAATTTTCGAAGGAGGCCTAAAATTCACATGTCAGCGGCAGGCAAAGCTGGGGTGGTACTGATCCTACTTCAGTTCGGAAACCATTCCCAGCAGGTGTGCCGCGCCTCTCCACTGCCCGCAGACAATGACTTCTCAGACAGTGAAGAGACTCTCAGCTCTGTCCAGGCCTTTGGCGAGGGCGACGCGCAGCGGCCCGCATTGGAACTCCCCAGCTTACCAGACCGCCCCGGGAAGCCTCCAGGCGGGTGGAAACCCCCACCCTGACCTTCGTTGTCGCGTCGCACCTCCTGTCACGGCCATGGCACAACAGCGAGGGTTTGAGGGAGAGTACCTACGGCCGCTTAGCCGGCAGGGCCGGGCAGAGCGCCCTGGGTGCAGCCCGGGCCCCTCTCCACGTAGTAGATCCTGGGCCTCCAGAAGCTCGCTCCCAGCCAAGACAACAGCACAGCCCCACGCGCTGGTATCCACTTACCCGCCGCCCGGTTCCCGGCGACCCGCACGGCGCAAGAGTAACCCAGCGGCAACCTCAGCTTACGCTCACGCTACGAAAGCCAAGTCTGCCCCAGCGCGGCGCCGCGCGTGCCGACGCCGTCCTAGCGCACTCACCGCCAGGGGATTGGCCGCCAGCAGCGCCAGTCCCGCCTCCCCGGGCAAGGCGGGACTAAGAGGCGCGCGGTGCCCTTCCCGCAGCACGCGTGCGCTACGGGCTAGCGGGGCAACTCTAGTGGCCGGGCCTGGGTTCCGCGAGGGACGCTGGCTGCTTGCCGCTGGTGGATGGTAATTGCCTACCTTGCGCGAGCTGGAAGACAGTGTCTTGTGCCTAATGGGCATTAGTTCTGATATACTGGTAGGCTCGACGGTTCCCTCTCCTCGATTTGTCTTAGTCGGAGCGTGAGCGCAGCAGGCCGCGGTGGGCGCCTCCTCCAGGGGCGGGAAGTGGGTGTAGCGGAGCTGCGGAGCGCGCACAAGTGCGGAGCTGGGCGCCTCAGTGCCTTGCTTTGAATTTTGTTGCAGTGCATTTCCCAAACCTTCTTGGGTACACGTTTTATAAATTGTTTCCTAGCAGAAAATTTAATCCACCACAGCCGTAACTAGTCTTGCAAGCGAGTGTGACGTATTATAACGTAATTTGGTGACCTGCAAGGGATACAGGTAAAGTCTTCATTTAATCCTTATTTTTGCCGATGTCTTTCGGCGTTTATCTCTATTGAGAACGGGCACCAGTGTTACAAACTGAGGAAATGTGGATACCAAAAACTGATCTTATTTGAGGAGTGAGAGGAAACTTGATTAGTTTTTGGAATCGTCTTTGAAATCAAATTTCCTTTACCTTCGCAGTATGTAAAGCTTGTGATTTTCGTTGCTGAAATATTTCAGAAACATTTCAGAGTTGATTTTGGAGAACGTTGGTTATCTATATATAAATATTTTGTATTTCTGTTGGTTCTGTGAAAACAATTGGGTTAGATTTATTTTGTTCTTTAAATAATTTGTGTTCTCCTTAAAATCTGTGAATTCTCTGATCTCTACTTTTCTTTCTGTAGTCCTTAACTGACTTTCCTGGTCCTCAGCTCTTTATGAGTATTCAGTTTTCCCCTCAACACAAATGAACGACTGACTATCCTGACATTCTCAGACATTCTATTCTATTCTATGCTGTGACTTGGAAGCCTGACACCAACCCTTCTACTTTTAAAAAGAGGTCATTTGATACACATGGTAGAATGCTACATTCTAGGGACAAGTGATTATAAAAACTACATCCTTAAAGCACTCTGAACCTGGAGGAAGGGACAAACAAATAGAATAATTTGGGATGAGTTTGAGTTAAAAATAAAGAAAAGGTATTACAGAGGAAGAAATGTCTAATTTACTGGTGATTGAAGGGAGTAGGAGTTGGAACAGAAAAGAAAGGCTTTCTTGAGGATACTTAACCCAAATCTGCAAGGCTGATTATCCTCTTAGGAAGAAGGAACCCTGTGAGCTAAGGGAGTGAGTTTACTATGTTTAGAGAGACAAATTGTGTAGGAGGACTGGCCTTGGGAATGGTGGGATGAGATAAGAAAGGTAGATAAAGATCCAGTTATTAAGGAGTTTGGATTTAATCTAGTTAGTGGTTGGAAATCTTATAAAAATTTTAAGGTAGCAATGTGATGAAATTTAAATGAAAAAATAAATAATGGAAGGTTGATATTTGAGTCACAGTATTAATTAGGTGACAACTATAGTAGGTCAGAGGAGAAATGTTGAGCTGGTGAACAGTCAGTATGCAGAAGATTATTTTGAGAAATATTTAGAAAGTAGGATAGATAGGACTGGATGCCAGGTGGTAGAGGATGAGAATTGCTATGACGTCTTTAATTTCTAAATTTTGTTTTGTGTGTCTGGATGGAAAGTCTACAGTGGAACTGTCCTTTGAAGTCAAACATGCCAAAGTGTCCATCTGCCTTGGACACTCTGGCATATAATAGTGGTGTGATCTTGAGCAATATATCAAGCCTTTAAGTCTCATTTGTAATGGAAGAATAATAATATATGAGGGTATATTGTGAGGATTAAGTGAAATAATGTATATGAAGTTTTTATGTTAGCTCTTCTTATTATTACAAACAAAATATAGAAAGAAAGTTCATTAGAGAAAGATTATGAGATTGTTTGGGGGCATAATAAGTTTAGGTTGCCTCCAGATCATCTAAATGATGGTATTTAGAAAGTAGGTGAATCAGCCCTGGAGTCCAAAAAAAAAAAAAAATTGTTAGATGTTTGGGTGGATCAGGGAATAACATGGAGCCAGTTTAAAATTAAGTATGATCCACTAGTGGATCACTTGTATGTTATGCACAAGACCCTCGGTTTGATCCCCAGCACCACAAAAAAAGAAAAAGTAAATAAAATCAAGCATATCTAGGGAAGGTAATGGTGACTTGATGGGAAGGGGGACACCATTTTAATGTTTATATTGGTGCAGGAAAAATGCTGATAAAATTACTTTCTTAGGTCTTTGGGATTTTCAAACTAAGGTAGAAGATTTTTTAACCCAATTCTAAATGATTAGCCACTATGTTACACAGTGTAGCTCTATACTCTTAGACTTGGGGCCATTTTAAAGCTTTGGAAGAGGAGAGAAAGTGCCTTTTGTTTTGGATAGCACTAATTTGTGTGAATGTTATGATAATGGAGCTGCCTAATTGTTCTGTGTTTGTCCACCAGATGACTAACTAAGCTTCCAACCCTGGAGAGCCACAAAAGATCATTGAGAAGTAGCTATTCATAGCTGCTTCTCTTAAAACTGTGTTCTCCAAAACTAAATCAAATGTATAGATTAATTAGATAGTAATTGTTAGTATTAAAAAATTCCAGCATTTCTTTACATAATGGTTTCTTGTCATAATACTGTACATTTTAAGCCCTTACCATTTTATATATGCTGTCTAATTTGATCCTTACAATAAGTCATGAGGTGTTATCTCTCTTTTTACAAATGAATTATTTTTACAGAGGAATTTAAGTGATTTGCTTCTGTTGATGTGTAAGAAGATGAATCCCAAGACCTATTTGTTTTTTTGCTGTTTGTCTTCGGTCTGTTAGTTTTTCTGCTGTGCCAATTAGTATTGCCTTATGTTTGTAAAATATACTTATGAATTTTTGACTATTTAACACCCTCAAAACCCAATATGTTACCTTTTTTCCCAGACATACATCTCTTAAAATCTTGCTGTTATAATGCCTATACTCCATTTTTTGTTGAGTTACTGATACTTATTTTACATTCTTCCTTTATGTGGCTTATTTATCTTACATTGCCTGAGAAGGAATTTTAAATGGATTTTTTTTCATTGCTATTTTGTTTGGAACTAGATTCCTTAGAATCAAATCATCATATGAGCATGTATCTAGTCATGCTAAATTAAGAAAATACTAGGGTTCCTTCACCTCCTTTTTTTTTTTTTTTTTTGATCTAAGAAAAACCTTAACTCTTTGGAGAAGTTGGATGTTGTCAAGCTAGTATTTATTTTCCCATATTTTTTTTTTTTCTGAAATTAGGCAGTAAGGCAGGAGCAAAGCTCCCTCCCTGCATGTTTTAAATATGGAATTTCCATTAAAGATTTTTGAGGTGTTTTTTTTTGTTTGAGCAAAGGGTTTTATAGCTAAAACATGGATCTGCATGTAGTATCAGCATATAATGGATCTTGGATTCCAACACAAGATTTGAGCTTTATCTCTTATCAGCTTTGTGCTGCCAAATGATTAGAATGATGTTTTAGGCAGAGTAATGTGGAGGGTCGTTATGGTAGCTATCTGACATATATGGGATCTGACTAGTTCAGATTAATGGTAATCCTAGACAGCCTAACTCCAAAAAAGCTCACTGGTTAAAAAGGCATTAAGTCTTTAACATATATGGGTGAGAAATCATGTTTAAATTAAACTGCTGTTAAACTATGTGATTGACTGTAATTCTCACATTGCAAAGTGACAGGACCACTTACTCATTTCTAGCCAGGCAGATCATACATTATACTCATTATAGCACAATTGCTGTTCTCTTTCTTCATTTATTACCATAGTGTGATTTACCAAATATTTACATTTAAGAAATCTTTTCAGAACACATTTGTCTCCATGATTCCAGTGTGCCTTCAGTGATTTGTAATGAGTATGAACCAGGGCATACTTGATATATAGACACTTAAGGAAATAAAAATTTCTAACTTACAAGAAATCACTAGGCCCAGTCACTTAATCACTCAGGCTTTTCTTTTTAACCTCTGTCAACCTAAAACACAAAACAAAACAAACAAACAAAAAAAAACAACAGCAACAGCAACAATAAGACCCAGTGATTCTCTAATATTTATTTGGGAATAACATTGCCAAATTTATATTTATATGGGAATAGTGGTAATAGCAGAGAAAAAGAGAAATGTAGATAGCAATTATAGCAACACAAAATGCTGGGAAAAATAAAAAAAAACAATTTGCTCATAATGTGGATTTTTTTTTTTTTTAATCCATGTGTTGCAAAAATTACATGAAGATTTTAAACAGCTCTTGGAGCAGGTATTTGTGAGTTAGAATAGAAAGTAGCAGTGAGGGAAAGAGCATAGGGACCTTTTTATTCCCCATGCCAGTAAGAAATTATGAACTTATAATAAAAGTATAATAAGCCTGTCTTGTCTTTTATTTAGGATAAGGGGTCAATTTTGCCCTATTCTATATGTCTACATCTATGACTATCTATGTTTCAATGTATATTTGTCTGTATCTGATCATGTACATAGGTATCCATAGGGGTAAAGATATAGAAAGCAGATGTAGGATTATTTTAATCAAAGATTAAATAGCATTTCTTATTTCCTTTCAGAATAGTCAAGCAGCCTGAAAAGCAATAGGAAAAAAAAGGCAAAGGGATTTCAGTTAATACTGCATTTTCATGATCCATTAATATTTATTTCTGTAAGAAACAATGTAAAACAAATATCTTGTCTTCTGATATTTAGGACTCATTTGGGGATGATTATGAACAACAGCTTTAACTTCACAGTTGGAAATGTTGCAAACTATGATCTCCTGCTTTCAGGGCACTTAGATGCAATTAATACCAAGACCAACAAATGAAATAAAGTAATAGAAAAGAATACCTTAGAAAAGCTAAATATGTTACATGCTAAAAGTGCTACAGAAGTGACAATTTAAGGAGAACTATAAAATCCATCTTTTTCCTCACCACTGAGAGTACAATCCCATTTTCTATTAGTATTGAAAGTGGCTCAAGTCCCTCCACATAAAAAATAAAATGATTTCTGCTTAGGTTTTTGAAACTGCTTTGGTCATTTTGGGGGGGTGGTTGGTACTAGGGATTGAACTCGGGGGCACTCAAGCACTGAGCCATATCCCCAGTCCTCTATTTTATATTTTAGAGACAGTGTCGCACTGAGTTGCTTAGTGCATCGCTATTGCTAAGGCTGGCTTTGAATTTTCGATCCTCCTACCTCAGCCTCCTGAGACACTGGGGTTACAGGTATGTGCCACTGCACCCAGTTTGGTCATTTATTTATAAGAGGTAATAAGATTACCTATCAATAGAGGAAGTTTTGAATGACTTGCCTGTATTTAAGTCTCAGCTATGCCTCTTAATTAAATGACCTTGTACAAGTTTTCTTCTCTGTGCTTCAGTAGTAGTATAAAATGCAGATGATTGAATAACACCTATTTCAGAGTGTATTGGTATAAGCTGGGCATGGTGATGCACACCTATAATCCTAGAGGTTTGAGAGGCTAAGGCAGGAGGATCAAGAATTCAAAGCCAGCTTCAACAATTTAGTGAGATCCTAAGCAATTTAGCAAGACCCGGTCTCAAAATATAAAAAGTACTGGGGATGATATGGCTCAGTGGTTATGTGCCTCTGGGTTCAATCTCTGGTACCCTCCCAATAAAGAAAATGTATTGGTATGAAATAAATCATTTAATACTGCATATGCTTTAAATAGAGCCTGGCATACAGTAAGGCTAAATAACTGTGAGCTGTTATTACTATTATTGTTATATCATTGTTATTTTTATTACTTCTATTAGTATTGTTTAACAATTCTTATTTTTATAACTTGCATTTTTATCTTCTAGCTATTCTGCTAAGCATTAGAATGAAACAGTTGCCTGCAGCAACAGTTCGTCTCCTTTCAAGTTCTCAGATAATCACTTCAGTAGTCAGTGTTGTAAAAGAACTCATTGAAAACTCCTTGGATGCTGGTGCTACATGCATAGATGTGAAACTGGTGAGTTTTCTTGAAAGATACTAAGAAAGGAGCTTTGTAGATCTTTTCTTCTTTCTTTGTGCCAGCAAATTACACATAGGATATTTGTCCTAAGAGCAAGTTCCTAAAATTAAATTTTTATTCAAGTCAATAATATAGTAACACTGAAGGAAATTATAATAAAACATGTATTTCAGGACTCAGTCACCTAAAACATTATTTTAATGTTAGTATTTTCTAATATTTCTCTTTGGTTATTCTTGTTTACTTCTTTCATATATTCCTCTTTGCATTTTATTTTCCCACCTAATTTTGTTTCAAAACCATTCCCATTATTACTTTAATTTTGGCATTTTAAGTGCTGCGTATTAAAATCATTAAATTAATATGCCTTAGAACATTCGTTATGATTTTTTGCAATTGTTTACATGCTCATTTCCCCTACTCTAAATTGCAAGTTCATAGTAGTAAGCTATATTTTATTCATTTTTGTGTCCTTTATAACTAGCCAGTTCCTAGCACTTTTTAGGAAAGTAAATAAATTTCTTTGAATGTTTGAATACTTTTTAAAAAATCTCTTAATTATCGGATATTTGTGTTATTTCTAGTATTTTGGCATTATAAATAATGTTGATTATAATATCAACATTATAGGAAAGGGATTTTATCTTTTTATATGACTTTATATATGACAGATTTTGCTTAACAATCAATCTTAGGGAGGTAAATAAATATCTTGTTCTTTTTTTTGTCTCTAAAACATGTATCCTGTTTTTAATTGTCTCTGGAAGAAAAATAATTGTTCATTATAGTTATGTAATTGTGGTGTTCATTTTGACATATTCACAAATTCATTGTAGAAAAGGATTTATTGTAGGAAAGAGATCTAATCTTATCAGATAAGATTCTATGATATATCTATAAAACCTGAATATAAATACTGTTTATTGGTAAATAAATACTGTTTATTGGTAAATAAATAGTAATAGATTGGTAAACTATTACTACACCCATTTTACAGATAGTAAATGTTCTGTTTTTTAGTTTTTTAGTTATAGATGGACACAATACCTTTATTTTTGAATGTGGTGCTGAGGATCAAACCCAGTGCTAGGCAAGTGCTCTACCACTGAGCCACAATCCCAGCCCAGAGAGTAAATGTTCTGAAAAATAGTATTGGAGCTAAAATTGGAATTCAGTCTTTCTGATTCATTCAATATCTTTCCTCTATACTAGTGGTTCTCACAATGTTTGGGTGAATCAGATTAAATTAGAAGATTTGTTAGATAACGGGCTCTACTTCTGAGACTTGTGATTCTTGGAGGGGCTTGAGAATTTGCATTTCTAACAAATTTCTAGTTGAAGCTAATGCTACTATATAAGCTTTCTAACAAGTTTCTAGTTGCTACTGATGCTGCTATAGAATTGCTCTTCTATATCAAACCTGTATTGGGTTTTTAAATAATACCCTATAAACTTTATAAACATGAAAAAATGTATATCAAGTTAAACCCAAAAAAGACAATTTATTTTTCTTAAGCATTTCATATAATCAGTTTAGTCTGATTAGAGTACAATTGATAATAACCAAATAGGATTATATCTTTATATATGACAGATTTTGCTTAAGAATCAATTTTAGGCAGGTAAACAAATATCGTGTTTTTTTTTTTTTTTGTCTCTAAAACATGTATTTTATTCTTAATTGTCTCTGGAAGAAAAATAATTGTTCATTATAGTTAGTAATTGTGGTATTCATTTTGACATTTAAAATTCATATAACATAATTTGCTACATTTTAATCACCAGTACTTTCCCTTTCCTTCCCTTACCCTTTTCCCTGATCTCTTTCCTTTACTGGTCTTTCTTCTATTAACTTTTTTTTCAATTTATACATTATAGTTGTACATAAAAATGGAATTCATTGTGTATATTAATATGTATATACCATAATTTAGTAGAATTCCACAGTTCCTTCCCTTTCCCATCCTTCTTCTCTCTGCCTTGATCCCTTTCTTCTAATCTACTCTTCTCTTTTCTATTTTTATGAGATCCTCTTTTTAAAAAAATATCTTATTTCTCTCTAGGTGTTTTCATTTCTAGTCTTGTAAGGATTCTTTATACTGCTTTCCAGAGTGTTTGTACTAATTTGCAGTCCCACCAACAATGCATGAGTATACCTTTTCCTCCACATTCTAGTCCACATTTGTAGTAATTTGTATTTTTAATGATTGCCATTCTAACTGGAATAAAATCTAACTAAGATAAAATCTCAGCATAGTTTTGATTTACATTTCCCTCATTGCTAAAGATGTTGAATATTTTATCATATATTTGTTGGCTATTTATATGTCTTCTTTTCAGACATGTCTCTTTAGTTCATTTGCCTATTTATCACCTGAGTTTTTTGTTTTTTATAAATATAGATTATTAAACATAATTTATTAGAAATACCCGTGATAGTGAAACAAGTCAAAGAACCGTTAAAGATCAGACTGTCCTTTTATTTTATAGTCAATTTCCTAGAGAAAACAAGGGATTTATTCATGTACCATAATTTGTAGAACTGAAGACTTTAAATTCTTCTTTCCATAGTGTGAATGAATGAGCTGGGTGCCACCACTCAGACCTGTTCCAGACCAACCTGGGCAACTTGGTAGACTGTGCAGCAATTTGGCAAGACTGTCTCAAAACTTAAAAAAAGGATTGGGGATGTAGCTCAGTGGTAAAGAGCCCTTGAGTTCTGGCCTCAGTACCAAAAAACAAAAAGACCAAATTATTTGATTTGTGTTTGTTTCTAAATATGATCACAGTTTAATGTTTTTATATATTAAAAGTGTTTTTAACTTTGTAGGAGAACTATGGATTTGATAAAATTGAGGTTCGAGACAATGGTGAGGGTATCAAAGCTGTTGATGCACCTGTAATGGCAGTGAAGTACTACACCTCAAAAATAAACAGTCATGAAGATCTGGAAAATTTGACAACCTATGGTTTTCGTGGGGAAGCCTTGGGGTCAATTTGTTGTGTTGCTGAGGTAAGGTCATTTATATTATAGACAATTTTAGTATTACATAATAACAGAATATTAGAATTAAGAGACATCTAATCCAGTACTTGGAAAAGATGTAAAACTTCTTACATTTTATATTAAGATATATTTAACATAAAGTATTACCATTTTAAGCATTTTTAAGTGTGCAGCTAAGTAGCATCAAATACATTCACATTGTTATATACCCATCAACACTACCATCTGCAGAATTATTCATCATCCTAAACTGATTCTCAGTACCCATTAAAGAATTATTCCCTTTTCCTTTTTCCCATCCTCTAATAACCACTATCTTGCTTTCTGTCTATGAATTAAATGTTCAGATACCTTATATATATGGAATCATACTGTATTTGTCCTTTTTTTGTCTCACCTAATATAATATAATAATGTCTGCAAGGATAATGTCTTCAAGGTTTGTGAACATTGTGACATGTATCAAAATTTTGTGTGTATATCACATTTATATCCATTCATCTGTAGGTGGATACTTAGGTTACTTTCACCTTTTGACTTTTATGGATAATGTTGCTCTTAACATGGGTGTACAAACATTTGTTCAAGTTTCTGCCTTCACATCTTTTGGGTATACACATAGAAGTGGGTTTGCAGTGTCATGGTAATTCTATCCATATTCTTTGAGGAACAGCATTGTGTATTTTGCAATGTTAATACTTACTAGAGGAAAATGTTTAGTAGCCCTTTGGCTTGGAAAAGATGTATTTTAAAAATTAAAGATACTTATCTATAGGATTTTTTAGTCATTATCATAGTAAAGCATATTGTGAATCTTTTTTTTAATATTTATTTTTTAGTTGTAGTTGGACACAATATCTTTATTTTATTTATTTATTTTTATGTGGTGTTGAGGTTTGAACCCAAGGCTTTGCATGTGCTAAGTGAGTGCTCTACCGCTGACACAACCCCAGCTCACAATGTGAATCTTTAAAAGTAGTAGTTTATGGTACTTTTCCCTACATCTCCTTCATCATGAAACTCTTATTAAGAAGAATATTGGGCTGGGGATGTGGCTCAAGCGGTAGCACGCTCGCCTGGCATGCGCACGGCCCGGGTTCGATCCTCAGCACCACATACAAACAAAGATGTTGTGTCCACCGAAAACTAAAAAATAAATATTAAAATTCTCTCTCTCTCTCTTTAAAAAAAAAAGAAGTATATTACTGGGCTGGGGTTGTGGCTCAGTGGTACAGTGTTCACCTAGCATGCGTGAGGCACTGGGTTCAATCGTCAGCACTACATAAAAATAAAATAAAGGTATTGTGTCCACCTATAGCTAAAAAATAAATACTAAAAAAAAAGAAGCAGCATATTACTGTTATTTGTTTTTTTCAGTACTGGGCATTGAACCCAGGGCCTTATACATGCCAGGCAAGTATTCTACCAGTAGAGCTACATTCCTAGTTCATATTACTGTGTTTTTGTTTGTTTGTTGCTCTATGGAACCCACACTGGAAGTTCCACTTTGGTCACTACAGATAATGAGGTTGAATCTAGAGGTGTGAATTAACTTATTCTAAACTATAGATATCTAGGGGCAGATTGGATACTAGAACTTTACTCTTCTGACTGCTGGTTAGGTTTTTGTAATGTTTACAAACCCCTTAGTTCAGTGCCTGACACATTCAGTTGTATCATACCAATTGTATTACACTTCCTCTGTCCCAGATTTTATAACTAGTTTGTGGCAAAACTTTTCTATAACCTTGATCTCTGCATTTCTATGTGTCTTATTTGTGTTTGGTTACCTGACTTTACTAGTTTCTTTATGCTATACTGTTACTCTGTGGCTGGTGGTCTCTGTTTTATTGTGTGACAGTATCTTTACGCCAGTAAAGGTGACAGGGCGATTATGAGGGTCTGTTTGTGTAATTTTTGAGGTTTGCCTAGTTGTGTTTAAGATGAAATATCTTATTTAGATGAGAATGGCCATGTGTAGTAAAATGATAGCATTTGATAACTATTGTTTAGGAAAAGTGGTATGGACATGACATATTGTTGCTGTCTTTTGTTCTGGTTTTTGGGCATGTGTTTAGTAGCCTGATCTTCTCAGCAGTGATGTATTCTCCAGATTCATGTGGTCCCTTCTTTGGCCTTCTGCCTTTGAAGTGCTGGCATAGTTTAGGTTTTCTCCATTTTTTGTGACTAGGGTCCTAGCTAGGTATACACTTTCTCTTTGACTTTGGGGCTCTATAAGGTATTGTCTTAAGTAGACCAGAAAAATGTCAGAGATGGTACAGTTTAAGTGGGAGATTTGGCTGTTGTAGCATAGTAGACAAAGTTCTGTCCCTTGTTGGCAGCCAGATGTTCAGTTTTCCATAAAATAAGAAATCCTTAAGTGTGCTCATAAAACCTCTACCCAAAATCTAGCACACCATGTGCTTCTTTATCTTACTTAACACTTGCTTTATTTAGAATTCACTGAACCTTCAAATAGATTTTGGAGAAAAAAAAAGAGGAGGGTACATCTGCATATTGCCCATCTTTCTCATCAGAGAACTTATATGGGAACCTGTAGCCCTGGGTCTTGTACATAAAGTTAGTTTTTAAAATGGAGGTTCTTTGAACCTCCCAGTACTGGTACTGTTGTTTGAGTTTCTTGTGACTATTTTAGAACATAAATATTGATATACATGTAGTTTAGCTGTTGTAAAAACTGGCAGATATCTTTTAAGTGTTATTTTGGTAGAGTATTGTTAGAAAAGATAATTTGGCACATCTATGTTTTATTCTAAAAGATACATTTACGCTTTCAGAGACAAAATCAGACATAACCAATTTTGCCTGCTAGATGGCAGCACTACACTTAGTCTTTATAAATATGTTTTACATGAGCTGTGTAATTTATCCAGATTTTCACTGTAGTTCTGATTTTACACAGCAGATTTGCAAGTTTTGCCCATGAGTCATTTTATCTTGTTTTTGTATGTGATTACTTAAGCCAACTTGACATCTGTGTTTATCAATTTTGTCTTATTTTTGAGGTATTAAAGTGTTATTGAATAATAACTTTTAGAGTAATTTTGCTCATTAGAATCATAAAAGAATTGTCAAAGTATCACAATAATAGAAAACTAAACTTTTTAAAGAAAGTTTGCAGTTTCCACATTGCAGTGCAAAACATTTGTTTATATTTAAAAATATTAATAGGATTTCACAGAATTCTCTTTCTTTGAAATCTTTGAGGAAACTACACAGGTGTGTGTGTGTGTGTGTGTGTGTGTGTGTGCGCGCACGCGCGCCACGCACAGTAAATTTTTGCATATATACTCAAGATTAAGATAAAGGTTGTTATCAGCACCCTAGAAAGTTCTCTCAGGTTCCCTCCCTGTCAGTATCTCAGAAGAATCCACTATTCTGGCCTCTGTAAACACAGATTAGTTCTGCCTGTTTTTGAACTTGATATAAATGGAATCTTGAGGCATGTATTATTTTGTCACAGTTTTTTGATGATGATTTAGGTTTGATTGTACCTGAAAGATAAAGGAAAGATATAATTGGAAGAGACCCTGGTAGGACTAATAGACCATAGTGCACTGCCCAGATCCCCAACTTTAGTACTGGGTACTATGAAGAATACTGAGTGAGTGTTCACAACTGAATTTCCCTTTGGAGTTTGCCCTTGCTTCACTGAAGAGAGTTACCTTATCCAGGTCATGCAGAGCAACCTGCATCCAGTAACTATTTTGGTTCCAGTTCAGGATAGCTCTGCCCTGTTCCCGCAAGTGATCACTCAGAGTACTCCTCAGTAAACATCTGTTCACTAATCTGTGTCCCCAAATCTTCATGGGTAAGCCTACCTACAGTTTAGGTGTTCTCTGGCTCAGTGTCTTTATATTACTGATGAGGAAACTGGGGTGTGGTGAGGCCAAATGCCAAATCTTTGTACCACAACTTCAAAATATCCTCTAATAATCATTTAACTAACATTTGATTGTCTCCTATATGTGCAGGGTGCTGTGCTAGGTAGTTTATTTCAGAGAAGCTGTGTGCAGTGAAATAAACGTAACATGAAAATTGTGACCTATTCAGAGACTCATAGTATCTACATGGCTAAGCTAAGAATACAGTTTGCCTCTCAGAACTGAGATCTTGCCTTCTTACCAGCATGGTTAGAAAGGGACTTACAAGTTTAAAACTTAAAAGTTTTAACCTTTTGAGGGAAAATGTTCACTTTCTAAGCTTGCAATTCTTCGTCATTCAGAAAGAAATAAGGTTTCATGTATAAAAATTGCTTATTTCTATTTGTTTAGTACAGTACTGGGTCTGCTACTGATCTTCATCTCTAGTCTTTTTTATTTTTTTTATTTTGAGACAGGGTCTTCCTAAGTCGCCCAGGTTTTCCCAGAACTTTCAATATTTTAAAGGCTCTGGTTTATTTTGAAATTTTCTAGATAGAATTACAGTTACATAATAAAAATTAGTGATTTGGTTGTTTTGTCTACCAAATTATTTGATGTAGATAATTAGGTAATTTTAAAGTCTTATGTTTGTAAACCATCCAAGGTTCAATAGATTGATAATATTATAACTGGTATATAGTTTTGTCGTATTGTTAAATGACTCTCAACTTGAATTTCAGTTGTTAAATTTACTTTTTTAGATGATTTTACATGTTAATATTTTAAATTATACAAAGGGAAATGAAGTTAGTCTCCCAGCAAAACTAGAAATATGAAGTGCACCTAATTCTGTTTTGTTTTCTTTTTTGCTATGGTGGATGTCAAACCCAGGGACTTGTGCATGTTAGCAAGTGCTCTGCCATGGAACTATACCTCCAGCCTGCTAATTCTGTATCCTTTATTTATATACATGACAAAAATAAGCAGTTTTCCCAATTCATCAATTTTAAAATAACTTCCAGTTTCAGACTTTAACAGACCAAAGGAGTAAAGCACTTCTTTTTACATTTGCAGAGTGAACTATTAATATTTAAAAATTAAATTGCTTCTTCTGTAACCTATGATGAATGTTTCAGTTACTGACACAAATTGACTAATTTTTTTTAAATCGTATCAATAAGCATAACTTCTTGAAATTTGTGGTTGATAGAAAAATAATTTTGAGATATTTGTCATTCTTCACTGTTAGCATAACAATTGGAATGAACTGGAAGTCGTGAAACTTCTGTTCATAGAAATTTTTGTAAGGACTTTTTTGTATATGTTCTTCCTTTTACATAATAAAACATACTCCTTTTAGGTTGATATTATAAATACATTATATAAATTATGCTTTTCTATCCACGTTTAAGAAACTTGTTTAATTTTTTGAACTAGATTTTGAATGAAAACTAACTTATACCTTTGTTTTAGGAAGAAATAGAATAGTTTTGCATTGTTTTCTGAAAATCAGATCAAGCTGAACCTAGGAATCAGAGTTCTAATTCTAAATCCCAAGTGTTTGAATAAGAGATTTGGCCAAATGCATAAAATGGACTAACTTTTCATACAGTCATTTTTTTCCTCCATCGATAAAGTAAGGATAATGAATTGAGGATAAAAAAAAATACTACATATTAAACTATCTTGACTGTTGTCACATATCATGCAAATGAAAGTTATTTTTACTTTGGACTTCAATGTGAAGAGCAGTATACAGCTTTATCATCCAGGTGATGATTTGCTTATTTTCTTCATCTGTCTGTAGTATTTCACCTTATCATCCAAAGTTTACATAGACTTCTCCATATTTTTGGGAAATTCTTTCTGAAAATTAATAGCCATTCATAGATAAATTCTAATTTTCACCAAAGTTCTTCATTTTTTTGCACAAAGTTTGTTTTTTTTTAAATTCAGGATAGCACAGGATCTGTAGGTTTGATTTTGTTATATATCAAGGTAAGCCTCCGTGGCTTATTGGGGCAGACTGAGACATTAAGTCATACTGTTTGGAAGATAGGAGTTGGGATTCCTTATTTGTGGGTCCTCACAGCTGTAAAGGAATAAAGAGAAACCTCTACCATTACTGGTTCTAAATGAAGCAAATGATCCTGGTTCCTTTTTCTCAGTGTAGGCTGCCCCTATGTCCTTTATAGCTATGGTGGTTAGAGATTTAGTCAGGGTAAACATGGAAAAAAAAATAATATATATATATATATATCACTAAGTTGCTGAGGATCTCAGTTGTAGAGGTTGGTCTTGAACTTGTGATTCTCCTGCCTTAGCCTCCCAAATTGCTGGGATTACAAGTGTGAGCCACCGTACCTATCTGGCATAGAACTGCTTGAAGCATTTGGAATATTTTACTTTTTGATGCAGCCTCCTCACAGGTGATAGAACTCTGTTGAAAGGGGTAAAACCAACCAGGTGTAGTGGTGGTATACATCTATAATCCCAGCCGCTTTTGAGGCTAAGGCAGGAGGATCACAAGTTTGATACCAGCCTGGACTACTTGGCAAGACACCATCTTGGTTATCTTAGTTTTCAGACTCATTTTTCTGTGCCAAAGTATTCATTCCAAAAGTAAGCCCAGGCCTGTGGGTGTGGCTTACTGGTGGAACACTTGCCTACTCTGGCATTCATGAGGCCCTGGATGTGATCCACAGTACTACAAAAATAAAACAAGAGTCAACCCCCAAAATGGCTTTATGATAATTACCTTAAATAAATTTTTTCCAAGAGAGGATTTTTGCTTGAATTAACAGGATATATATTCTGGTTTTAAAATGAACTTTTTATCTAAATACTGAGAAAAAACTGCTTATCTCATATTTAAAGGTTTTTCTGTAATTCTAATTTTGTAATAGTACTATAATTCCTTGATATTAAATGAGTTTTTAATAACTGATAGCTAATAACCCATAAGGTCCTCTAAAGACTTCTAAAACTCCTCTTTTAAAAATATTGACTCTATTTTCTTTTCTTGACACCATTGGATTTACTTGTATAATTCCTCAAGTCTCTAGTAAGAATCACCAGTAATAGTTTGTAATATTAGAGATGCTCCTGATGTTGTAGTTACTGCAAGTTCAAATGCTAGTTTCTGCACAGCTAATGCATTCTGAATCTGTGCCTGGTCCAAAAAAAGGTTTCCTGCCCAGGACATAGGGTCATATGATGAAATGAACTCTTGAAATACAATTCCTTCCTCTGAGGAACACACTGTATTTCATGAATTTGTGAAACATGCTTATATGTGTTTTATTTCACTGTCTTTACCAATGAATTGCAGTGCATCTCCTATCTAAATAAATTTTCATAGTGCCCTACAAATTGTAATTTAAAATTTTTTGTTACAAAATGTATCATATTTCATTTATTTTAACATAAATGCTACATTATGAGCACTAAAGACCCATTTCAAATTTTAGCACTTCAGTTTATTTTTTAGACTGGAGAGTATTTTCATATTTAATAAGAATGTTTAAGGGGTGAATGATTTAATATCTTATAAAGTGCTTTGAAGTGGTTGAAGCAAAATCCCATGTAACCTTATAAAGTATTAGCATCGTCTTCATCTTATCATCACCCTCCCCTCAAAGATGATAGTGTAATCATTTATTCAGGACTGTCTAGAAGCCACTGGCAAAGTTAGTGCTGGAACTGAGAGTTCCAGGGCTGCCTTTGCTCAGTGATACCAACTTTAGGTCAGGTGGCTAGCTCTTTGGAGAATAGAAATAGAATTCAGATGACCTTGACATTTTGGAGAAGGGCTTAGATTGTTTTTAAAGGGGCAATTGTTGGAATAATTAAAATACAGGAAACAAAAATCTCTAAGCTTTCTATCCTTTAAATAAACTTTACTAGAGGAAATTACTGTTGGATACATTATAGCTGGAATGTAGTAGGGAAGATTAAGCTTAGTTGTAAGGAAATTACTTCAAATTATACATCTTTTAAACCATGGAATATATTTTGGAAGAAGAAGAATAATCACTTTAGAGTACACAAAAGTTTGGTACACACCTGTAATCCCAGCAGCTTGGGAAGCTGAGGCAGGAGGATGGTAAGTTCAAAGCCAGCCTCAGCAATTTAGTGAGGCCTTAGCAATTTAGCAAGACCCTGTGTAGGGGGAAAAGATTCTTTTCTGGGAACGTGGCTTGGTGGTTAAGTACCCCTCAGTTCAATCCCTACTGCCAAAAGAAAAAAAATAAAGAAGAGTACATAAAAGCTGCCAGGCACAGTGGTGCATGCCTGTAATCCTAGCTAATGGGGTGGCTGAGGCAGGAGGATCCCAAGTTTGAGGCCAGCTCTCAGCAGCTTAGCAAGACCCTGTTTCAAAATAAAATATAAAAGGACTGGGGATGTAGCTCAGTGATAAAGTGCCCCTGGGGTCAGTCCCAAGTACCCCCTTCCCCCCAAAAAGCATTATAGAGGCTTACAACTAGGTATAGGTAGATCTCTTGGAATAGTTATAACAGAAATAGTAGCTTGACCTAATGACCCTAATAAGGATTTTATGGACTTCACTCAGAATCTAATGACTCTACTAGTACTTTGAGCTAGAATAGTCATATCTTTTTATGGTGTTTCTGGTTTTCCCTACATGGTGCCCATGTAAACCAACAAATGTAGAACCAACTGGATCCAGATGAGTTCAAGCAGTATAGCTGCATCTTTGTGGCTTTTAAACTGTGTAAATATATTTTAGAATATTTAGCTCTTCTGAGTCCAGGGATATTGCCAAGAAAGATTACTCCCAGTTTTGGGTCATTGCTTAACATATGTGGCTACCTTCTTCCCAATACATTTTGCTTTCCTTGCCAGCATCCGCACTCCACATCTTTGTGTTTTTTTTGTGTGTGTGTGTGTGCAACAGTGTGTTTTATGTTACGTTTCTCTGCTAATCTCTTGAGATAGATAGGATTAGGGCAGCTGAAAGAGCGCAGACATTCTTAAATTTGTATTTCTATGACTAACATCTGAGGATTGTTTTCATGCTGGATAAAGCCTCTTATATGTTTAATGCTAATGTTGTTTTTAAATAAAAATGTATTCTTAAACAATGAATTTTAAACTCGGGTTTAAGAAAAATTGCCCATGAGTTTATATGTGTGTATAATTTAAATTTTTAAATTTTTTTGAATCATAAACCTGAAATACAGAAGTGCTATTTTACTTTGAGTATAAAAGGGGAAGGGAATGATCACTTTACCTAAGAATTACTCGTTTGTTCACTAATTTATGGAAATATTCTCTTCAAAAGCAGGTTTCTCTAATGCAATTGAAGTACTTGCTTTTATAGATGTAAATCATATAATATATAATACATATAGCCATTTCAGGTATGCTGGTTGGTGCTTGAGTGTTTTAATTAAAATATTCAATAAAAAGCAGTAATTTGCAGCATAAAAATATGAGCTGCTCTATTGTTTTTTAGGGTACTTCTAAGAAGTATTGTAAGAGTGGTCATAAAATTTATGAAATGAAACTTTTTAAATATTAAGTAAATATGTGATATTGATTCATTCTAATTTGATAATGAACCCAGTGCAATATCTGCAGTGGTCATTTTGCTAGAGGATTTTTTTTTTTTTTTTAATTTCCAGGTTTTAATTACAACAAGGACAGCTGCTGATAATTTTAGCACTCAGTATGTTTTAGATGGCAGTGGCCATATATTTTCTCAAAAACCTTCACATCTTGGTCAAGGTAAGAAAATAGCATTATAGCATTCTTTACCTTTCCTTTCTTGTTTGTTAAAAGCAGCATTACTGCTTGAATTCAAGTGTGTTGTTTTAGCCTTGCTCCTGATGAAGTCTAGTTAACTTTCAAGTGAACAGTCGACCTTCAGCTGGGGATGTAGTTCAGTGGTAAAGAGCTGGGGGTGCTTGCCTAGCATGCATAAGGCCCAGAGTTTCATCCCTCGTGACACAAACACACACACACACACAGATTTTTTTTTGTGTGTGTGTGGTGCTGAGAATTGAACCCAGGGCCTAGTGCATGAGAGACAAGCACTCTACCAACTGAGCTATATCTGTAGTCCAACAAAGATTAAATAGTTAAAGAGGAGTTCTCAAGAGGAACTGTGTGAGAAACTGGGCAATTGTGTAGATTACTTACTTTTCTAAAAAATCTATAAGAGCATTTCTTTTCCTATTGGATCACCAGTGTTGTCTTTCCATATGAAGGATAATATTTTATTGAAACACCTAAAATGCCATTTAATTTTGTAATAATGATAAACCATAGCAGTAAGATATTTTGGTTAAATAACTTAAAAATGTATTTGTTTATTCATGGAATAGTTCAAAGATGCTCAGTTTAAACAATTATCAATTTACTAGTAAAGTTCTTTTATCTAGTACCCATACTCACTCTCTCCCTTTCTGCATTTATCATTTTCAGGCAGATGAATTCATTATGTTCCTATTAATAATTCTTTGTTGTTGTATACATTTATGTATAAATTTACTGAATTTTGATATTTTAAGCTTTAAGTTTCTCTAAAAACTATTTATTTCTAAGAGGGGGAAAAAAAATCTCTTTAGGCCTAAGTTTCATCTATCCTTTAATCTTTTTATACTCTCATTTCTGGTAATGGAATGATTAAAGTTAAGAGATGTTATTTCTGAGTTCTGATATTGAATTTGTTCACTGTATTTCTTACTTTATAAATCTGTAGCACAGTTATTGATTACTTTTGCCTATTAGGAATATTAATTAGGAATATTAATATTATTAAATATTAATATTATCAGGAATATTAATACTGTATCCATGTAGAGAAAAGTTAATAGGAGCTCCTAAGAAAGCACACTAAATTTCTCCTCATTTATTCAGTTAATGAAAATGAGCAGAAATCTAGCAGCTATTTAGTTTCATGTATAATAATAAGTATTATACACTTTTCAATTTAAAGTAATAGATTGTAATACTTTTACTATGTGTTGAAGGTTTGGACAAAGGGAAGGCATTTTTTTGAAATTATGGTCCCTTTCCAGAAATGCTGTGACCTCCACGTCTTTGGAGTTCAAATTAGGAAACCATTAGGAGGTATTTGAGTAGCTGTCCAGTAGAGTACTTTGAAGTAACCTAGTCACCTTATAAAACTTAAAAGTATTTATTTTTATCTTTGTAGTAACCAGTCTAATCTGGATGGCCAGTGGCTCTGTATCACTCATACTTCTCATGCTTTTATGTATTCATCTCCATGGGAACTATGAAATAACAATCCTTAAATATGGACTCCACCTGATCTTTGCCCTTTTGCTGGCTGATTTTTCTTTGCCTGCTGACCTCAGTCTTCTACCTTTAGTGAGATCAGGTACAAATATTAAAGAGTTTTTATAGTCAATAAATTAATCTTATTTTCTTTAGCCAATTCCTTTTATCTTAAGAAACAACATACTTGAAAGGTCAATAGTTATAGGTTGCCCTTCACAACTCACTTTTTTTTACCTAATTACAGTTGATTAGGAAAAAACAACAGCAAAAATAAAAATTTTAATTTCAAATTGCTGTAGGTGGACATATTATAAAAATACACATTCTCAAAAGCCTTTTACATTTATGTTGCTTACTGCTGATAGTTTTTGAGTGATTGAATCACAGACTCACATTTCACCAGCTGTCATTAGCTTCCATTTAAATATTTTCTGTGTAAGATAAAACTACAGTTCAATCATCCTAATTTATACCTGTGCATTTAGGGTTCTTGTAAATTAATTTCTGCTGTGGGTGAACATTGTTACTTAGCAGTAACTCTTCATATCATCTGATAGAATGACACCTATAGATAGTACAACTGCAGTTGTAGTAATGACTTAAAACAGAATCTTATTTAGGCATTGGAAAACTTGTAACCCCTTTAAAAAATGTGTTTTAAAATAGTTTACTGTAAATACCAGTTCTGTTTTTTCTGGGTGTTAATTTAGCCATTTAAATGATTTATATGTTTAATAGCATATCATTTTAATTGCCCTTTCTTCTGTTAATTTCCATTTTAGAACACTGTGCCTGATTTTTAAAAACTTGCAATGAATGTAGAAATAAGTCTCCATCTTTTAAATTCCTTTACTAAGAAGACTGACAATTATTTTAGTTACTTCTTTTTCTGTCCTCACTTTTCTTGACTAGTGTCCCCTAATACTTCTGCCTTAGGTGTTTCTCTAATATCAGAATGGGTATATTTCAAGTACTATTTGAAAGAAAGGAGATCACCAGAGTACAAGCTGGGGACCAAAGGGGAAAAATTGAGGAATCACGTTATGCTTGAATATATCAATGTATGTATGAATATATCACAATGTACTCCAATTTTAACTGTAATGCATCTATTTTTAAAAAAGTAAGTAGAAGAAAGACCAATAGAGTAGAGGAAGGGAATCAGAGGTGGAAGGAGGGAGGGAAATAGGAAGTTCTAGGGATTGAAATGGAGCAAATTATGTTATATGCATTTAAGAATATGTCAAAATGAATCCCACTATTATGTGAAACTATAATGCACTAATAATCTGAAAATAGTACTTTTATCAGGGAATTTTTTTTCTAGTCTGTTATTAGCATAAAGCATCATGTTTTAAAATTTCTGATATGTGAGATTGTGTATGTGTTGAAAGAGCTTTTCATCTTAATTGAAGGCTGCAACTTTATTTATTAAATAATTCATGAATACTTTCTGATATATCAAGTACTCATACCTTTACATTAGGAATATAACTAGCCTCCTTTATAAGGGGCATAACTTAGGGTCATGTAAACATAAAACATGACTGCAATTTAATTTTGGTGTTTGAAGAATGCACTCAAGTTAGAGACCTGAGCAGTTCTCTAGTAAAGTACGATAGTATAACTGTGGCTTCCTCCTTATTGGCCAATATTACTTGATACTTTTATTTTTAAGAATACACATTTCATTTGGAATAAGAAAAGTCCTTTCCATTAATAACTTTTATTCACACATGTAATTTGCATCTTATTACTAATTCTTCTTTTACTCTGAGAATACTTTTAGGTGCTAAAGTAATAATTTGTTGTTATAAAGATAGGTATAGTGTAGTTGATGAGATAGAACATTTAAAAATCAATAAACAATCTTTTCACTTTCATAAATACCTTTACATTTTGCCTTGTCAGTTTCTTCTTTCCTTTTGTCTTTTCATAGCTATAATAGATATCATTATATTTGTCTCTGGGAACTCACAGAATAGTAAGAAATACAGATGAGTAAATAAATAATGATAGTAAAATGAAATCACCAGTTGCCTAGAGGGAGGTTAGTAAGTTTTTCAGAAAAGATGACATTTGAATTTAAAGATGATTAGGTAAGACCATGTGAGAAGCTGCCGCTTTGGCACACGCCTATGATCCCAGTGGCTTGGGAGGCTGAGGTAGGAAAATTTAAGTTCAAAGCTAGCCTTAGCAACTTAGGAAGGCCCTAAGCAACTTAGTGAGACCCTGTCTTAAAATTAAAAAATCAAAGAAAAAAAATGGGCTGGGGATGTGACTCAGTGGTCCCTGGTACTAACAAACAAAAAAGAAAACAATAACAAAAAAAAAAACTCCACACATTGGAATATGATCTTTCTGCAAGAGAAGAATAGTGAATATAGATGATAACATTGCTGCCTTTGTAGCAATGTAAAGAAAAAAAACATAATTTTAAAGACTTGCAGTTGTCTTTAAACTTGTTGAAGAACTGTATTACTGAAAAATTTCAATGAGTTGAATTCAAGAGAAAGAATATGCTCTTTTCTAGAGAGGAAGTGATTGATGATCACTTCCATCCCTGGGAGCATTAACTGTGTGTGGAGACACAGATGACAAAGGAGCAAGTCTACCATGGTTGAGGGATCTTGTATGGCACTAGCAGAAACCAGCTGAACTTTTAATAGCCCCATGTTAACTGACAATGACAGATTGCAATATGGGATCCTCAGACACAGAGCTTGTTTGCTCCACACAGAATCTTTTTCTTTTCCCCCTTTTTTTTTTGTTGTTGTTCTAATTAGCTATACATAACAGCAGAATGCATTTTGACTCATTGTACACAAATGGAGCACAACTTTTCATATTTGTGATTGTACGTGATGTAGTCACACCACTCATGTACCTAGGGTAATGATGGAGCAAATTATATTCTACCATCTTTCCAGACTTTTGCTGAGTAAGCAATGATGAAGAAATATGGGACTGAGCTAAAGGAAGAAAGATCTTAAAACTTTTCTGGAGGAAAAGGTCTGATTCTATCCTTGAGACATTGGAGACCAGATGCAAAGTAGAACTAAATAAAGGGTCATCTCAGTGCAAGAAAGATAAATTCCTAGATTGAAGCGATCGGTTCTTCACTCTACCTGCTTGACTGAAAACAAAGACTTATCCTTAGGGAAAAATATTATCTTCTTCAGTATTATTCTTCTGTACACAATGTCTGGCAAAAATTAAAGTTTTGAGGGACATGAAGAAAGGAAAACTGACATCCATAATCAATGCTATAAATTGCTATTACTTATAGCATTACAATTTGTTACAAGCAAATTTAGTATAAAAATGGTATAAGCAATTTTTTAAATTTATTTATTTTAGGTATATAGAACAGCAGAATGGATTTTGATTCGTTGTACACAATTGCAGCACAACTTTTCATTTCTCTGATTGTACACGATGTAGCATCGCATCATATGTGCAGTCATACATGTACCTAGGGT